CCATTACACGCTTGTGAAAACACAGTCTAAGAGGAAGAACATTAGCAACAGGGGTCTGCTTGTGTGTGTGTGTGTGTGTGTGTGTGTGTGTGTGTGTGTGTGTGTGTGTGTGTGTGTGTAGGTTTGTGTGACCAACAATTGATTGTCAAAATGATGGATGAGTATTTGCATGCACACCTGTGTGTATGTTAAGAGTATATATGCATGCATGTGTTTAAGGTGAAGGTGTGTTGCAAAGAGATGAATGTGACCACAGTTGTTTCCCCTGTTAAAAACTAATCTAAAATGATTTACACCCAGTTTATAATCTGAAAGTAGAAGTCCATCTTAAAACACAGGATGTAAAAGTCAACTTTATACCTGTTCTGAGTTATTGAGACTCCTTTCTAGGACTGTACAAAATGAGTGATGAATATAATTTGAGAAATAGCTGAAGTTCATTCAGGGTTTACCACTATGTCACCCTGAGTCTATTCACAGAACAGATAGGGGCTCCACGGTTTCCTTCACTGAGCTTTGTCAGAGCTTTCCCTCTGCACCCACAACTGCAACCCCCGACATGGAGGGAACTCTGTTGAGGATGATCCCACCATGAGCAACAAGGAAAATTCATATTGCAGAGTGGTGTACATAAAAAAACTTCCTGCTCAATGTCAACAAAACCAGGAGCTGATGATTTAAAAAAGGGTTAGGGTTTACATCAGTGGAGCTGAGGTGGAGCAGGTGAACAGTTTTAGTTCCTGCAAATCAACATCACAGAGAATCTGAAACAAAAAACAAAAGCAAAATTCCTCTGCCAAGTTCTTGTTAACTTTTACAAAGCCCAATAGAAAGCATCCTTTGTAGAAAACATTATGGGGTGTGCATGGCCCAGGAAAGGAGTGCTCTGCAGTGAGTAATTAAAACCACCCAAAACATCACTGGTACTGGTAGCATCAGTCATATCAGTGAGGTGAGGTGCCTGCATACCCGCCACAGCCACAGCCTGTTCACCCAGGTTGTGAAACGCCTCAACTCATCCTCTGCACACTGCCATAAAAAAAAATATTTTCTTGTGTAGTATAAAGAGACTACAACTTGTATTTATTTGTGCCATCTTGGGTTGTAGAATTACAAATAAATGAACCTCAAACCTTAATGAAATCCATCAAATTGATCCACTGACTTCAAAAAATACTAAGAAATGTATCTGGATTTTGATCAACTTTGTGGTAAATAAATAGATAAATGGTATCAATATGCAAAAGCATTGCAGCCCCTGTTTATAATAATAATAATAATAATAATAATAATGTAATAGTAATAATAATTAATGTTTATATATAATATATATAATATTTATATATAATAACAATGTGCAATAATTACTGTGCAATACCATTCCATATTCACTGTGCAATCTATTGCCCATGTGCAACTTCTGCTGCTGCTACTATTTGTGTTATCTGTTGTTTGTGGATTCGTACTGTTTTTTCTCTTGTACATATTTTCTATTTATTATATTCCTACTCTTACTGTTTTTTTATACTGTTTTTTTCTCTATCCACTTTGCTGCTGTAACATTGGAATTTCCCCATTGTGGGACAAATAAAGGAATATCTTATCTTATCTCTTATCTTTTAAACCTTTTTGTTTAATTCGAAATGTTTATGTTGTTTCCAGTGTATTTTGTATTTCTATTTGTTTTGTATTTTGCAGATGTAAATTTTTGTGCCACTTATTTACCATTAAGTAAATGCTTATATTTGTATAACATGTATTTATAGTGTTCTTTTGTGTATTTTTCAAGGAAGTAAACATATTTCTAGTATTTATTTTACAGTGACATCAACTAAGTATTCTGTTGATTATCGAAATGTGTTCCTGTTGAAAATGTCCACACCCCAGTAACTCTTTAACCTCTCACCTCTGTGAAACACTTCTGACTCTACTTGAATTCTCCACAATTCCAAACACAATCACAGAAACCCACATAAACATAAACACACATTTGAGATCAGTATTGGAGCACAGTGAACAGACCATGCAGCCTCCATTTGCATTTTGTCTCATCTGTTCTTCCTCACGCATGACCCATCGTTTCCAGAAAGTTCTGTGTGCGTGACTAACATAGAGAGCAGATTAGAAAGAAATCAGGAGTGTGTGTGCATGTGCCAGAGGAATACATTAACATAAGCAGCATTAACAAGTTCAATATAACACCTCTCGTCTCAGTTCGATTCTACTTCTCTTGTTCTCTTGTCTTTCCATCCCTCTTCGTATTACTGTTTCTCATCTTCTTCTTTCCTCCTCGTCCTTCCACCTCCCTTACTACTCAGCCTCCCTCAACCTTTCCTTGCCCGACACATCCTCCATGCTTGTATTACAGTACAATCCTTGTTGCAGCTTGGGCGTTCAAGTACATTATCAATTATAGAAAAGAGAGGCATTAAAGCCACTTAGAGCAAAGTGACTGTAACCTCAGATCTCAGCAGTGTCGCCTTTTCGTAAAATGTCATTAGAACTGAAAGGAATAATGGCCAAAAGCACAAAAACAAGACCAAGATGGTTAAAAAACAACACATTCTTGTAACAGTCTGATCTCTCTTACTTCCTGTTCCTCATTTCTATGACATCAGTGACAACATCAAAACTGTAACGCAGCAATCTTTCAGTATACCAAAGCATTTGACCTTGATTAACCTTTAAGAGAAAAATGCATCAGTGTCATCATACTTCATTTAGAAATGTCATACTTCTGGGGAAAAGGGGGATAATTTAATTTGTGAATTGATTTCCCCTATATTTCTAAAAATCAAACACCCCTGACAAAACACAGAAACATATTAAACATCCTCTTTCCTGTACATCACAATGCCGGATGTGCAAAAGCAACTTTTCGACTCAAATAACTCTTCATTTCAGCTGATTGCAGAGTCTGCTGTGTGTCAGCGTGTAACCTTGACAGAGAGCGTATCTTACATTAAGTGAGAAAAGAAGACAAATCTGGCACTGCACAGCACAACCTTGTTTCCTTTCCTCTCACTTATCTGGAAACACTTTTACACTACATTGCACAATTGAGCTCTCCACCTGTACACAGCAAGGAGAGCCATCAGCAGCTGACAGCTGAATGGCATCCAGAGATATGCAGTAATTGCTGTAGTTTTAGTAAGCTAGGGTGTATTATAAATGTAGCAGTGGATTTTCTTTTCTAATTTTTAATGATAATACTATACTGTGCCACCAAAACAAAACAAAGTATGGTTGATTTTTCTTTTAACTTTCAACTGGAACAAGTCTTTGCACACTTGGCACTCACACTACGTACTCAAGCAGAGCATTGAGTCGTATGAACGATATTTGACCCAACTCAAGTCAGAAAGAGAAAGAGAGTGATGAAAAAAGAAAAAATGCACAGAGCACATTCCAGCAGTGCTGAGTGTTTGTCGGTGGAGCTTTACTGACATCGGTCGACATTGAGATGACAACTGCATGCTGGCTGCAGTCCACCACGTCTTCATGTATCTGTTTCTGGGTGTGCCTTAAGAGAGCTGATCATCTGGGGTAAAGGAAGGGGGGTGATATGGTCCTGGAGGGAAGACTTGGAACGGACAGAAGAGGGAAGAAAGGGTGAGAGATTATGTAAGGGAAAGAAACTGAAGCTATTAATCCAGCCGCAGGGCACAATTTGATTTCACTATGTGTGCTTTAGTTTTATAAATATTCATTTTAACGTGGAAAAATACACTTCGTTAATATCCTCCTTACTATCTCTCTTGTTCCCCGTGCTCCTGTGTGGGACCACTGTTTGCCTCACTGTTGTATTTGAACTTTGACCCCTCTGCATGGGTCAGCCTTCAGAAGTACAGCTCTGTTTTGTCTGAACTTTTGGCCCTTTGACCTTCAGTCTGGGGCCATGGCCATCAGAAGCAGCAGCAGAGAAACACCAGTGTGGTTACAAAGCTGCTTCAGAGAGCCTTCCAAGTTGTAGAGCTGTTTCTTTTTAATTTATTAGTCTTTTCCAAAGGGTGGTCTGAGAACCTATGGGCTCCTTGTGGGGTCAGAAATGTCCTTATCAAAATAAGGAATATTATCACTGTTAGTTTGTTAATGAGGAGCTAGTAGACAGCTAGAGATGTCAAAACTGTTTTGTATCACTCTACAGTCTTTGCTGCCCTCTGGTGGTCCTAAAGTGAAAACAATGTGATCTTTCATTAAAAATACAGTGCACACCATTATCCTCAAAACATATGAATGGTATCTGACAACAACACTACATTTTCAGTTTTTAACCCTATGTGAGAGCTTTAGTTTATAGATACTATACAGATTGAAGATTCAAGTGAATTTGTAATTTCAGCCACAAATGAATTTCAGAACACAAATGAATGAAATTTCTTCAGAACCAACATCTGACGAAACATAAGAACATCTTAAGTGTGTGAGTGCTTAAAAACAGATCTGAGTCAAACTTGATGTTTGCTATTATTTTACAAATGATATCATCACTTTACAGAATGTAATGAAGCGTTATAAATGAACTATATTCATCAGTAGCTACAGTATAAAGCAGTTAAGTACTGCTAACATATAAACCCATCACTTATAATATAATAGGCTATACATTATAATCCCATACTCTCAAACTGTCCATTCTGTATAAGATGATAATATTTACTTAAATATAAAGGATAGTAACACTTCTTTCAGCTCTCGACCTCAAGATGTGTAATTGTGATCACTGTTCAGAACATCAGCCGTGTGTTTCTATAGTGACCACCGGAAGCAGCAGCAGATAAAGAATAAAGTGCTACATAACAGTCCATTAGTCTCCCACGGAGATTAATCAATAATAAAGAATAATCTTTAGTTGCAATTGAGTTACTTCGGTAGTATTGTAAAGAGTATATTACTGCACTGCTGTTTACGGCTGAGTACTTTTAGTAAAGTGTTAAAGTGAAACATTGAGTGATGTAAAGCAGCAGACCTGCCGCTTTTATTGTGAAAAGCTGGGAGCAGAAGCAGTGGTTGTCTCCTGGTGAAACACAAACAGCTCGGAGATAAAGTAGCGGTGGACAGACAGACGGACTGACAGACTGACTGACTGTAAGTACAACACACCACAGTCAGTGCACACGCTAATGAGCTTCATTAGTCTCTGAATGGCATTAAAACGATAACACTATATCCTGAATATGTATGTTGTTGATGGAAGCTAATGTAGTAGCTCGCTACCAGGCTAGCCTACATTACAGCATCGACAGGGACCGTCGAGTGGACTGAACACCTTTGACTGTCAGCACAAACCAAACTAACTCCAGTGAGCCTCTGAATGTGTGTTAGCTGCTGCTGGCTCTCTGCTCTGCTCTGTATACGCTTTATTTAGTCCAGCTGCTGTAGTTGTATTTACCTGCCTCAGGTAACGTTAGCTCGGTTAAAGTGTAAATTTCCTGTGTTTTTCTGTTGTCCTTTTTTATTCCTTTACAGGCACAGCGCAGCTCAGCAGCCCCTCAGCTGTGGATCTTCCCCTACCCTTGGATCTCCCTGCTTATACACAATAATGCAAACGCCATATGACAGAGGACTCTGGAGCACCTAAGTAGCAATTACAGAGCCAGGTGGTATCTGATAGCTCCAAAAAGCAGTAATCAAAACAATATGAGTGACTTAACAGAGTTTGAAAGATGCCAGATAGTTGCTGCACGGCTATCTGGTGCATCTGTCACAAAAACTGCACAGCTGTTTAATGTGGCCAGAGGAACAGTCTCCAGAGTCATGACTGTGTATGTCAAACATGGACGCACAGCATCAGCAAAGAAAAACAGCGGGCGCAAGTCAAAGCTCACTGAAAAGGACAGACAGACCCTTCTCAGAATAGTTGATGAACACCCTGAGTATACAGCCTCAAAGTTAACCACAGAGCTGAATAGACACCTTTCTCACACTGTCTCAGTGAAAACTATACGGCGCGAGCTTCACAAAGCTGGTATTTTTAGAGGAGCAGCCAATCGGAAGCCAGAGGCCGAGACTGACACACAAAAGCCAGATGGAAAGAACACTGAACCAAATCCTGACACACAAAAACCTGTTGAAGAGAGCACAAGACCTGAAATGCAAACAAATTACAAAGAGTTTGGCACACAGAAGCCTGTGGAAGACAAAACAATATCTGAACCCCAGACTGGTGTCAAAGAGTACAAAACAGAAAAATCTAGAATACAACCCGAACTCCAAGTCGATGAAGAAGAGTACAGCACACATACCCATGGTGCCGAGAGCACAGGAGCTGAACCTCTGACAAGTGAAAACAAATAGTATTGTTGTCTGATGTGTTTTATTTCAGCCTTCAAACATCCAGATTGGTGATGTTAAGGGAAAACCACAGTATGCCTTCACCCCTTAATGTTCCCAACTGCCCATCGAGCTGTAATAACATGTCAGTTTTTAGATATGATTATTTATTTTGCATGAGTGCATCATGGTGCAATATTCAGGCTTTAACCAAGCTTTTCAAATTCCAAAGGGTTACGAAGCAAACATGTCTGAAATATAGACTGTTGAGATTTAGTCCAGATTGTTGAACTCCTTCCTGTAGGTGTTGAACGGTATGTTGTGGTTTTGTTCATTGCAAAACACTCAACTGAATCCAGTTAATGTTCCTTACTTGTTAGACCAATGCCATGCTGAGATGATAAATGCTGATGCTGTTTGTGTTTCACCTTTTGAGGTTATATGTACCAGAAAAACCTCTTGTGGATAATATGTGGAACCAGGCAGCAACTACAATCCCATAAGAGACTGAAATATAGTTTCTCTACTCTCTGTAATAATCCCCCAGCTTACTTTTTGAAACAAGATGTTAGTTTGTAGATCTGCATAATGTATCTTGTGACATGTCTTAGTGGAGTTTTTATAAAATGAGAAATACTATATGCCAGGTTTCTGAGGCCATCGTGCTCAGCTGCAGTGGTTGCTGCTTTGCTTATTCACTCTCAGTTTCACCCAGGCTCTACCCAAAACCCCAGGTTTCAGAACGTCCCTTCAGCAACCTCTGGGATGGTACAGATAAAGCACTTTTGTCTACTTTTATAAAGTTAAAATGATTCAGTACAATGAGAAGTTCACCTGCACTACTTACTTTTTGCTGTACATGTATTGCATGATAATTGATGACCCCACCATGAGGTATTGAATCTCAGTCATCACGTCTCTCTCATGCTGCCTTTCTTTACTAAATTTCACATTTGTAGCACCTGCATGTGCATAGCTTTGGCAGGGAAGGGAGTGAGACGCAGACCGTCAGGCAACATATGTAACGTTTGTACTGCATATTAAAACATTACACAAAAACACACAAGCTGTCAGTGCTTTCTGTTGTTAAATTTAGAAATTTACTGTGCTCTGGTACTGTTGCAGTGATGGTTGTCTGATTTGTTTAGCTTTTATGTGCACAATTCAAATCACCCTTATGCGAGGACACAAAGCCACATCAGCAAACAAACGATAAATGAATGGTAAGAACCACTCTAAAAAGAAAACTTTTCAAGAGCTCAGAAAAACAGCCATGTTTTCAGCTTTGTTCCAGTTAGTCCAGGTTTTTTTAATAGTTTATTTATCTTAATAAATAGCAGAATTTTCCGATCCTATGAAGAAAACACTTTCAAAATAGAGATACATGGTTTTTACTGGACAGGTAGGGTATGAAAAACTACTAACTAATGTGTATTTGCCTCTGAGATGTAGTGGAGTAGAAGTATAAAGTTGCATAGAATGAAAATACTTTGTAAAGTAGCCTACAAGTATCTCAAATTTGTATTTGAAAGACCCCATAAAGTTGAATGTAACTGACCGTTAAACTCTTATGAAAGCTGGATTTATTGCAGTGATTTGTTTTTATATATATAACAATTATAATGAATGACATCTTACATATTCAAATTCACGATAGAAACGTGGGTTGAATATTGCCTTATTATTACATAAAAAGACGGTCGGTATGACAAATACGCTGTATTTTATTTTTATTTTTTGTACGGCTGCACATGCGCGTCCGAGAATGACGCAAAAAATAACGCAACCGGAAGTGCTGTGCTAATCGTAAACACAGCTGAGAAAGCTGCTACTTTGTAAAAGATGGTGTACGTGTCCAACGGTGAGTGGTGTCTCCTGTGTTTTCAACTGTTTTCTCGTCTTCAGGACAAATATATAGCTTTTTCGTGTATATATATATATATCGTGTTCTCTGGTGAATATTTACTGTTAAAACGAGTAATTTTGACATGAATGTGTAAATGTAGCAGAGTGTTTGGCTAAACTTGGCTAGCGAGTTAGCCTGTTAGCAAGCTAGCCTGGCTGGATCTGCGTAGCATGAAGAACTGCTGAGTCCTCTACAACAGGGTATCTCTGTACCTCCATCACTCAGCAGACTATTCCGTGGAAACTGCAGCAGTTTATTGAGTGTGCTGTTTTGAACATGAGGCGAACATTGGCCCCGTTTCTTTAAAGCATCTTAACTGAGGCTGAGAACATCTTAGCCCCCAGACTTGTAACGTTACTGCATCTAAGATGTGTTTGTGTTAGTTTACATCAAAAGCTATTCCGTCTTCCATCACCCGATCCCTGCCCTCTCACCCTAATCCTTACGTGTGTCTCTCTCTTAGGTCAAGTCCTGGACAGCAGGAGCCAGTCACCATGGCGACTGTCCTTCCTGGTCGATCTCTTCTGGGGAGCAGTGGAGTTTATCGGCCTGTTGTAAGTCAGTCAGTCAGTCAGTCAGTCACATAAGTATTGAATCAGAGAAACCAAAAGGTGACGAGAGGAACCACATAATATGGGTTTTGGAATATATAGAAATAATAATAATGATAATGCTGGCTTTATGAAGGACACAAGGAAGAAGGTCCATAGCAATAACAAAGGAAAGTGGTGGAATATTAAGATACTTACAAGACTATGGTTTTAAAGCCATGCCAGCGGCCCTGTGAGGCAGTGCTTAGGCTTAGTGCTAAATGCTAATGTCAGCATCCTTACATGCTCACAATGACAACGTTAACATGCTGATGGTTAGCAGGTGTAACTTTTACCTTCTTAATTTAGGGCATTCGCATGCTAACATTTGGTAATGAGGTTTATGCTGCTGATGTGGGTAGGAATGACATTTGTTTTGCAGGTATACTGTAATTCACTCTGATCTTCTTTGTTCATCACCAGTTTTAAGACAATGATTCAACCTAACATGACAAAGGATGGAAACTGTGCTCCGTCACGCAGTGATGGCAGAGGGTAGGTCCCGGGTCTTTCACTCACACACACACACACTCTATCCTAAACACTGAATGTAACCTAACCTGATGGAGCGTAGTCTGTGGCACCATGTACCACAGATGGAACTAGCTAAGGGTTTTATTTACAACAGGGTAACCTGTTAACAGAAAGAAAAAAAGTTGGTTCAAATTGTGTAAACATCTTTTATTCTGTGCATTTTGTTGGATCGACATGACATCCACTAGTTATTAACAGCTTATTTAAGAATTGTTCATAGTCTAAGGAAAGTCCTGACCTGAGAGCTGCAGAGTTGAAATATTATCTTGTGCTGTTGCCCACTACAGCGTTTGAGTGAAGTAGGAGAAGGAGTACCTTTCTCATTTATGGTGCCAATCTGCTGCACTCCAGTTTCAAATATCTCACACAAGCAATGAAATGATGAATACAATAAATAGAAGTTATTATATTTACATTACATTTTTTACATAAGACCTTAATACCATTGTCCCCTCTCCTTATTCACTTCTGTTGATTTTGCAGTCCTCCAGGTCCCCCCGGTGGCAGGAGACGGATGGGAAGGATAGCCCATGGTGGAGGTCCTGACGCTCCACCAATGGGTGGAGGAGGATGAGGAAGGTGAGGAATAGTTCTTTCTGAATAAAACATTACTCATCAGATAAACCTTATTGATAAACCTTCTATTTCTGGAGCCTATAGTGAGATTAGGAGTTTAAAAATGTAAACATTTCCAAGTTGTTCTTTCAAATTCCCCAACATATTTTTGGAGATTTGAAAATATTAATCCTCCCTCACCCTCACTTCTCTGTAGGTAAACGCCTACACTAAATGTGTAGGCGTGGGGCCTGGCACGGTGTCTGTTCACTGAGAACCTAAAGAAAGATGGTGTCTAATCGTGACATCACTGTGCTGAAGCCCCTCTTCATCGGCTGCCGCTGCCATTCGCAGTTTCTTGAAGCCATTCTGGGAATTCCTACACATAGGGGCCAGAATGGCTGATACAGCAGCTAACCGCAACACTTCCTCCCATCTTCCTGCTTTAGACCTTACACTTTCCTGTCACAACAGTCTCCTGCAGGTGTACGTCTCGGTTATGATCATCCCTCCAGGGAATCATGGAGTTAGTCTGTTTTGTATCCTTCTCTTTGAATAAAAATTGTGCTGTGAAAAGATGTTCCTACTGAGTTTGTCTTATGATAGCATACTTTTGACTCTGTACTTCAATATTGATAATGTCAGAAGAAGTAGATTTATAAGATGATTTTGTATCTGAAATACAATGTGGATAATGGCAGAGCATGTGAATGCATTTGTCATTCTTTTAACTCAGCTATAACAGTTGCATAATGACTGTAAGAGTTACTGGGTTTATGAAGACAGATTTGGGTTGTACTGGAGGCTATCTTGTATTTAAATTCAATATGTTCAGAATTTCAAGAAAGGTGGATTCTGTTTGTTCAATAAAATGAAACTATTGTTTATCCAAGTGTCCAAGGCTTTATTTACACAAACTTCCATAAACAGGAAAAGCAGTAATATTTACAGAATATTAACAAGTAAACACAATGACCTCATTTGTGTTTTTGGTGGATGAAACAGCCAACACATCTGAAAATTAAGACGGATGACGTTTTTCAACATACTTTCCCACTAGAGATGGTGTTGTGATTTTAACATTTGCGTCCGCTTACATGCTGCCCACTCCTCCCACGCTATGCCTCCTCACGTAGACGAGGTGTAAATTCAGGTAAAATCTGTTGTTTGGTTTCACCAGACAAAGGCAGCTCTCTCACGAAGCATGCGGACACCAAAGCGCTGCCACTCCCCCTGGTGGATCCACATCTCCTGGGTGGTGTCCAGACACGCCAGCACTGCTCCCCCCTTTCCATGATATCAGCCGAGGGTCCATGTCCTACAGCGCATGCACATCAGCAAACGGTACATTAGAGGAGCTGTGTGTAGCTTTCATTCTACTAACTCCCAACCTTTGACATACTCAAAAATGAAGGCCAGTGAACAGCATGCTACTTTACATTCATGTACAACATATCCCATATACCTTTGGCCTTGTGATGACTTCCACGTTGTCTACCAGCCTCCTGAATGACGGCGGCATCTTGTTGATGATGCGGTGAAGCAGAAACTCCTGAGCACCGTGAAACATGAGCCCTCCTCCCACTACCAGGATGGAGCTGTACATCTTGCGTTTGGTTTCGTCTGATGCTGTCGGCAAAAAAGACGAGGTGAACAGGACATTTGGAGCACTGTAAAACATCTGCCCTCCTCTACATCCTTTGTTTATATACATTTTCTTATTTACAAATTTCTCACTATTTCCATTTTGAGACCCAATTTAATTGTTACAATCTCTTTCGAAGAACTTTGTTAACTTCATGTCTCCCTGCTTGCTATGCCTACATGGTCCCTTCTTCTGTCCTTTCTTACCACAACAGTCGATGCTATGCAGGATGGCCTTATCCAGACCCAGTGCTTTGCTCTCAAATTGGCTCATGATAGCGGTCTTCCTGGAGAGGTGAGCAGACAGGGGCTCCTCCACCTCTCCTGCACCCATCAGGCACTCCCCCTGGGCAGGTCCGAGCTCCATCTCCCCCTTCATTCCTCCTCCACTGCCGCCACTCCCACAGCCCCTGGGCAGGTCAGAGAGCTCCCCGACTCCTCCCTGACCGCTCATCTCACCATCCAAACCTCCACCTGGTCTGGAAACGGCCTTCCGGTCTGCAGCTGATTTTGAGGACTGATAGAGAAAAAGGGAAATATTAAATTTAAAAAATGACCACAGAGCTTCTATCTCAAGAATTTAGTTAATTCAACATGTGAAATGTGCATATCTCTGTGTGAGCATGTGTTACCTGGTCCTGTTTGCTCTGTGTGGACAGCAGGTAGTGTTCATCATGAGGATCCTCTGAGTCGCCTTGGGAACGGTATTGAAGTGATGTCATCTTCTGACCCACAATGCCAAATGTGGTCGGGTAGAAAAGACCCATTGGTGCCTACAAGCAAGAGGGGGACACAAATAGAGCCATAGATAAGAAGTAATTGTAGTACACAGGCTGGAGACAGAATAATGTAAAAAAGTATTTCAAAACCAGTCTTGAAAAGTAGAGTCTTCCACAGCTGTTAAAGATAAGTACCTCTAGTTTCTCATCTCCTAGTCGAACCTGGTAGAGAAGAGCTGGGGATTCAGGCAAACGTGTCTGGAATTCATGATCTTGTAGTCCTGATATGTCCTGTTAAGGATAAGCGAAGGAAAGACACATTTTGGATCTGAACGGCAGATTTTTTAATCCTTTCTTGAGAAGCAAATGTGGCGATCTAAACAGGATTGCTTTAATGAAACTGATCCGAAAGACCCCACCCCCTGACCAATACACACTTGGTCTAGATGGCAGAAGATCTCTTTGAGATGCTGCAGCAGTTGACAGTCCAGTCTGCTGGACAGCTGACAGTCTCTGTAGGGGAAGCCCGCCCTCTGCAGGAGCCAGAAGAAAGTACGGGTCACATCTGAGCCACCATATGCCAAACACAACCTGCAAGTCCAGCACACAAAAAGAACATGCAGTGTAATACTCATCATAATCATCATTTTTAATCAATCATTCAATATTGTTAAATATTGTAAAAGGGATCCATGATATCTGTAATTATAACCTGGATGAATACATTTAAATAAATTTAACAAAAAGGGGTTCTTAGGCCCACCTAGAGTTTCGGTGGGAAACCCCGTCCTCTACACAGCAAAGACTGGTCTTCTGGTCTCCAACATCCACGACACAAGCACTGCTCAACCCACTGCCAAAAGTAGCACACACCGACTCCTGGTGCACTATGATGGCTATAAATACACATACACAGAAAACAGGAAGAGGGTAAGGGGAATGGCGAGGAAGACAGGCTGGATGGTTTCTTAGCCTGCCCTGAATAAGCCGTACATGCATATATGTGTGTAATACCTGAGAATCCCATATTAAGCAGCAGCATGTTGACAACTTCTTTGATGTGCTGCCTGTTGTAGATGTCAGGGACCAATAGGATGCATCTGTAATACTGGAAACCAGTAAAAAAAAAAAAAAAGGTGAAGCATTAGTGTGAGAAGAAAAGCTTTTCCACTATTAGAATAGTCTAATTTTGAAGTTTTTTTTTTTTTTTTCTTTAATTAACTCTTCGCTGTGCTTTTGGGACCCTTAACATTTAGAGCCTGAGTTTTGCTGATTCATCTAACCTTTAACTTACTTTGTAAAATGCTCCTTCCTGTGAAGCTGTGCTTCTAGGTAATGCTACAGTTTTTAGCATGCATTAATCTTGTACTTTTTCTTACATTTTAATGTTCCTTATTTTGGGGCCTTTAAGTTGATCACATTGAATAAACTTTTACACACGAAGCTAAATAATAAATATTTAATAATAATAATAAAATAATAACTTTTATTATAAGCCTTTCTTTGTCCGTCGATACAAAGAGGTGAATAGGTTTCTCATACCTTTAAGTCTTTGAGGGGGATATCCAGTTGCTTTTGAATGACGTGACTCCAGATCGTCTCTAAGTCAGCCAGGACGGCGGTCAGCGAGCCTCCGGGACCAGCGTGCACATTGAGCTGACCTCTGACCATAGGCCAGTGGATGTTATAACAGTCAGATGGATTCACATGAAGAGCCTGCATGATGGCAGGATGGAAGGGTGGTGGGAGAGAGGGAAAGCAAGATAAAGAAAAATGGATAAAACTTAAGTAAAGCTAGTAAAATGAGTTTAAGTAATGCAAACAGTTGTAGTCTTATTTAATAGGATGCACTGACCTCCTCTCCCACCAGATGAGGAGGATGGTGGGCTGTGTTGGTCCACTTCACCCTGGAGCTGCTGTCTAGTACCGCCGGACGGATCTGACAGTTATAAGCCCTGGCCTTAACACACACACACACACACACACACACACACACACACACACACACACACACACACACACACACACACACACACACACACGTATGAAATTCTTCTATACATTTCTGCATATGAAATCTTACAGCACTAGACTCTCAAACAGTAGAGTTATTCATTATACTTTAAATCAGCCATTCAATCCATTTTTAAAAAAAAATTTATTGATAGTGACAGCTGGAGAGAGACAGGAAAGGGGGGCATAGAGAGGGGATAACACGCAGCAAAGGGCCTCAGGTCGGATTCGAACCCTGGGCTGCAGCAAGGTACATGGGTCGCCAGCTCTACCAACTGAGCTAACCAGGCACCCAGCCATTCAATCCTGTATTTACTGTGACATCCTTCACATGAGCCATGCAGCCCAAAGTGATTCAAGATTCAAAAAGGTGAAATGTCACTTAAAACCAAACAATTTAAAAGCAAGATAAAGAGGTTTAAAATGTGTATGTTCCAGTGAACTCTGTAAATTGGTTTCATTTGAATGGAAGGCTGCTGCTGTCGGTGAATATTACAGTATTACATATGCAACTATTCTTTTACTTCCAGATTCTCTATTACATAACACACACCTGTTCAGCCGACACAGGTGTCCTCCGCACTCCGTTTGACATCTTTTTGGACCAGATGGCCTGGTCGACCATTTTAAGCCCATTCTGCCTCTGCTCATTACTCTCTGGTTTCTGTCGGACAGTGGGGGAAAAACAAGGAGGGTAAAGGACAGGTGACACACAGTACAGTACAGTACAGTGGAGACACAGAATAAAAGACTGCATTGTGGGTGTATTCAGGCATGAGTGACTTACATTTAGACCTTCTCTCAACAGCCAGGCATCTTCATATCTGGGCTGTCCACTCTGCTTGTGCCTGCGCGCTATCACATGTGGGATTGTCAATGGAAGGGTGTCTGTTGCTCGGCCAATGCGGAGTGTCCTTGAACCAGGGTGGATGACAACTACAAAGTTGCTCTGTATTTGCTTTAAAAGAGGAATAAAAACAGAGAGAGAGATTATCAGCATAAGCATAACGATGCTGCATAAGGAATACAGTACATGGCCAAAAGTGTGTGGACACGTGAACATTACACCTTTAAGCAATTGCAGAATGTCTCATAACATTAATATTCTGCTGATGACAGCCTCCAGTCTTCTGGCCTTCCACAATATTTTGGCACCTGGCTGCAGGGAGCTGAGCCAACAACATTTAACATCTTAATAACCGAAAGAACAACCAACAGTAATAAACAATAATGAAAATAAACTCTTGTGTCTCCTTTCGAGTAAGAGATGAGTTCATGTAGTGAACTGATATTAAGATCCGGTCAGTGCAGAACACGGTGTGTGTGTGTGTGTGTGTGTGTGCTAAAAGCTACATATAGCTAAAGCTGAATTACAGATATTCAGATATTAAGCTACATACAGACATATAAGCATTAAATAACAATATTAAATAGTAATAGGTTTCCCCTCCTACCTCCTGAAGGGGGTCTGGGATGGTCGGAGGAGCGATGGGTCTTTTCACCCCGCGCTGTTGCTCCTTCTCTTTCTCCTTGTCTCGTTCCTTATCTTTCTCCTTCCCGTTGTCCTGCTCTTTCTCCGCCTGAGTCATAGTTGTTGTTAAACTTAATGGACTAAATGTTAAAAATAGTGAGCAGCGACCTTATTGTGCCTGTGTGGTGCTTCTTCGTCTTCTTCTACTACTACTACTAGTAGTACTTCTTCTTGCTCGGGTTTTAATGGCGGTTGGTGAACCAGTTTGTAGGTGCGTTACCGCCACCTGCTGGACTGAGTGTGGAGCAGTAAGATTGACAGGAAAATAATAAAGAAATAAAAAAATAAAAAAACTATTCTTATTCTTATACTATAATCTTTCTATTGTTTTTGTTATTTTTAAATAATTCATTAAAATATTATGTACTTTGCATGATTTCTTCCCAAGTACATTCTCCAATGTAATATTGTGTCCCTCATCAAATGCTGATATTAATTCCCTCCTTTGTTTATCATATTTGCTGCAGTCTATTATTCTTATCTATATACAGTTTATTACAATGAGCACACTAGGGTGCTTGCCTATGATATGTTTGATTTAATCCTATGTATCCTATTCTCAGATGGGTATATTTGGGCTCCAGCTCTGTATTCCACCAACTTACATGTTTTTCTATTGTAAAGATGTCTTCCGATGTCACATAAGTACAAGGTATTCCTGCTTTTTTGTTTTTGTTTTGCGTATATGATGCTTAATGATTGTTTTAACGTCTGCTTTACTTAGTAGTACTTGTATGTCAATTTGCTGTAGTTTTATTGATTGTTTTGCTCATATATCCACCTTCTCATTTCCTTCCACCCCTACATGAGCAAGAACCCAAAGGAAGGAGACACATAGTCTCCTATAATATAGCCCATAGTATGTGATAAGTATATCCTGCCTAGATGAATATCTGTTGATGATGTTGGTTGATATAGTTTTGTACTACTGTCCCTTTTTGTACCAGTGCAGGTTTCTCTTTCAGTTTTTGCAGCAGACCTTTATCTATGGATGGCATGATGAATCTCCAATGTGATATAGCTTATGATGGAACAGTGGGGTTTACATTGGCCTACATTTTGTGCCTTCGCTATCCGCCCAAAACTGCAAAGGTCACACAACAATATTTACAATAACTATTTAAAGTTTAGATAGATAGATAGATAGATAGATAGATAGATAGATAGATAGATAGATAGATAGATAGATAGATAGATAGATAGATAGATAGATAGATAGATAGATAGATAGATAGATAGATAGATAGATAGATAGATATACTTTGGGAAAGCTGGGAAATTGCAGTGTAGCAGCAGCATTACACACAGTTACAGCACAATGAGGTATAGAGAACAACCTAGACATATCAAAAAAGCATATAAAATGCAGTATAAATTTTTTTTATGAAATGTATAAATAAGCGGTATAATAGTAGTGCAAAGTAAAAATATAAGGTGCAGTGAACAGATTAGGTGCTTGGAGACTGTATTGTTATGATCAGAGTTTTAGCTGTTATTGTACAGTGTGATGGCATTTGGCAGAAAAGATTTCCTGTATCTGTCCCTTCGACAGCAGAGCTGGAGCAGCCTGTGAGAGAAGGTGCTCCGCTGTCCGACCACTGTGTGATGGAGAGGGTGCTGATCATTGTCTATGATGGATAACAGTTTATTCAGCGTTCTCCTCTCCACCACTGACTCAAAAGACTCCAGCCTGAGACCAAGTACAGAGCCAGCCTTCTTGATGATTTTATCCAGTCTGTTGGTGTCGCTGGCTCTGATGCTGCTGCCCCAACACACAGCAGCAAAGAAAATGGCGCTGGCAACAACAGACTGGTATTACTGGTTTACTAACTAAAGTATTACTGGTTTACTATCATTAGCCACAATATCCTACTGATTATTCATACCAGAGCAAATAAAGTTATAGCAGCAAAACCCCTGCGTGTATTCAGTTGAACTCTGATTTTTTTTTTTTTATGGACATCCCTTCTTTTGACTGAGCCCCTGGTCTACTGGGCCTCTTGACATCTCCCCAAATAGGATAGTTAATTAATCACTTCTTGGACACATGCATTATACCAAATTAAACAAATACATAATATTGACTTTTACCCATTCTCATCATTTGAACTGTGTACTTATGTAGTGTAACAAACTATATGCAACTGCTGCTATTTATAGCTTTGGCAGAGAGCCCAGTATCATCAGCTGACTTCTTTGATGGACCAAAGTGTTCTCCATATTCTTTGTGAATATTTAAGTATAAGGATTTTTATTGATATTTCTTATTGTATTTAAAGAATACTTCAACTACTAACACAATTCAAAAGGACAACATACAACCATCAGTTTGTATACCCACTTATGTCTACTAAAGCATACAGAGAAGCAGGGTATCCTGGAAACACACACACATCTACTATACAACCAACTCCAGTCCTCACTGTGTACTGTGGGAGAACAGGCAAACTTCTCCACATAGAAAAGATCCATAAGGCCAACATTCAACTTTTGGTTTAATAAAATAAGACTAGGATTATACATACTGTATATTAGACTAACATAGAGATTATACAAGATGATGCAAGCTGTCAAAACATGTTGACATAAAAACAGCATGGTAATGAATAAAATAAGAGTGGTCAAAATTCCACCAATATATCTTAGTTTATAAAATAAACAAAAAAATCCTGATTGTAATATATTATGTAAGAGAGCATGCAACTTTTTACTTTTTTTGCAAGTTTTTAGTTAATAGCTAATTAGAAAATGAATTCTGCTAATAACCACCTGTTTTCTCTTTTGATATTTAAGGATTGCAGATGAAACAAACACAAGTGCCTACGTCCTTGTTTTAGTAACAAAAAGCACAGGTCTATGTCTATCTATAATGAATAAATGCATATTGGGGATAAAAGCATAATGAAAAAAGTCAGTTATTCACCAATTCATAAAGATGCTTAAATAGTGGTGACTACAGATTTCAATGATTCCACCTCTTTCAAAATTCTTTGCTGATGTTCGACTAGCTTTTCTATAGCTTCCCTTAACTTCACTGTACTCTGTTCCACCCCTGGTCTGCACACCAGATTTGGTATCTTCTTGTTGTCCTGATGAAGACTTCTGTACAGCCTGTTCAAGTCCTTCATCAAACAAAAAGTTTTACAAGCCCTCAGTTCCAGTGCTAGGTTACTAGGCCTTTTTTCACACTTCCCGCCCAGCTGCACCACCCAGAACTTGGCCAAGTCATGGGCGCTCTTTGCGTGACTCGCCACCATGTTGAGGATCAGGGGAAAGAGGTCATGAGCTGCAGCTGGGATGGAAGGATCTGGGAGGATGTGGTTGGGAGGGTAGTCACTGGGCTGTGAAGAGGGCTGAGAGAAGAGAAGAGAAGAGAAGAGAAGAGAAGAGAAGAATAAATTACACACAACTACAACAAAACGTCAAGGATTGCCGACTTGGTGACATCATATTACCAATAATACAATAAAAAGTCTCATCAATAAAATCACTCTTAGTCAGACAGCAAGAAACAAGTGATAAATGTTACAGATTACAATCTGTACCTGTGGGCAGACGATGAGCACTCGATCTGCAGCCTTGGCCTGTTCTGCCAACCACCGCATCGGCCCAAGCTCTGCGATTTTCCCCTGCTGCCACATGTCGATAGCCACGCTGCAGTCACCTTGCCACTGCAGGAACTCTGCCAGGGCCACCACGGCCCGCTGGAAGGCTAAATTTTCAGCAGGGTATACCACAAGGACAGGGACAGGAACCACGGGAGATGTAGGCAACATTTTGAAACCCAACGATGTGGCAAATTTGGCTCCACAGTTTTTATCTCGGGGGTAAAAGAAAACATTGGAAAGAAGATGTTAATTAGCTTAGTTAGTTAACCTGTAAAAGACAGGTGAGTGAGCCCATGCATCTGCTACAAGGGAGCATTTTTGCTAATGTGACATTTGTATAATACATTCTTAATCAAAGTACTTACAGATTATGTAGCAGGTATGTACCAGGATCATCAAAACGGCCAGTACTCCAAAGACACCCACCACTATGTTGGTAAAGCTAACATTAGCAGGGACCGTTTCTTTTCTCAATCTTGTTGAGTCTTGTAGAGTTGTACTGTAAGTCGTGCTCTTAACTGGAGTGAAACATTAAAAAAGTATTGTTAAAGATACAATAGTTGTCATAAAGTATTATACATAACATACATGGCCACACATGCACAAGTAAATGAGATTGCTCACCGATAGGAACGATAGGTTTTGGTACATCTGCTAAGAAAACAAGAAGGTTTACATATTTTAATACTTTTAACATCATGCTGCCTGTGTAGAAACAACATAGCATCCTTAAAGGACCAGTGTGTAGAATTTAGTGGCGTCTAGCAGTGTACTTGCAGATTACAACACCCTCGCCTCACCCTCTTGTGCCAAGCTATCAACATGGTGGCTATCAACATGGTGGACTCTATAGAAGAGGATTCACTCCCTCTGTACATAAAAAACTGGTTCATTCCAATCTAACATAACACGATTCTTATTTTGAGGTGACAAATTAAAACATACATACGAATATAGAGATCCTTCTAAATGTTACACACTGGACCTTTAACTGAGATTACAAAAAACATTTATATCTCTTATACATATTGTAGAAATCAAATGTTTTGATAAGCCTTGAACAGCATAGTATTTTGTTATAATGTGCTATTAAAACAGTTTGAATGCAATGTTTGGAGACATTAACAGCCTCACAGTTCGGATAATGAACTAACTGTTGCTGAGTATCAAAAAAGTGAAGAATAACAAAAAGGAACTTACACGGTTTAGGTATGTTAATGTTGAACTCCTTGTAAGCAGAGCCACTCCCCTTTTGAGGCAGAGGGAGATTGGCAACTTGGATGCTGTTGAAGCCATAGCTTACTCTTACTAAATAATGAAACCATTTCTAGATTTGAAAAGATGACAATCATTGCATTGAGTGTAAACCTTTCAACCTCACATTCAAACCAGTCAATTCATTCATTCATTCAAGTTCATGCTGTCAGTTGCTGATTAAACAAGATTATTTCTAGTCAAGGTTCCATCCATGATACCTGCATTGATGTAGTCAGGTTGGCCAAAGGTGGGTTGTATTCACAGTGGTGTGTTGGTTCACCGAGAATTACGATCCTAGTGCCTGTCAAATGTTGAATACTAGCTGCAGAGAGACAGAAAATGTCAGGGTTTATAGAGTTTAAAATATCAGTTGGTCAGCGTTGACCTCAGATATCGACCAGTCAGTGTCCTTCACTTTCATGATAGAGTGTGTAAGTAAGTAAAAATATTTGAATATAAATGTTTTTATCTTCTGCCTTGTGCAATGTCACCTCAATCAGGCTAAAGTCCTGTTTATCAAGTAAATCAAATGAAGAGTTTCTGGGAAAACTCTGTTATCAGATAAAAGTTCGCCTCTCACAATACTTCCTATTTCCAACTTAACGGGATGGTAGTCCCAAAGTTGCAAGGTTGGTTTTCCGCCTGGGGGAGCTAGGGGGAGCTCCCCCAGGCGGAGCACCGGAACAGGCCATTTAACCATCCAAATGATTTCTAAACGGGTTTATTAAGTTGAAATAGTTGCCAAATTCTCCATTAAAATATGTGTTCAATATCAATTCTGAAGATGCCATGTCAGAGAACTGTGTTAAGGTAACTGCCTTGTGTTCACATGTAAAATGTACAACGTGTTATTTCCTACCATCAATGTTTATTGCCCAGCTTATGTTCAGTGTATATCGTTCTTCCCCTGTCAGCAGCTTCACCTTCAAGTCCGCCAGAAAAGATGGAGAGATATGTGTGACAGGAGGGGGTTTACCTGGAACAAGAGATTCACACATTGATAACGTCACAATATTATTATCTGAGATTTAATCAGATGTTCTCTGTAATTCAGATCTTGAGGTTTATTGTACTTTCTGTTCTCAGTTTATGTGGAAACACTGAATGTAAAAACATTATATTCACATTAACAAGAATCTGGAACTATATGATAGAGATTTTAAACCTGAGGTTTAAACAATTAATTTGGAAAAGCATTACTTCATATTGCTTAATTTCAACTAATACAGGCTTGGGAAGCTTTCAGTATGTTTATGACACCCACAGTTTAGAGAACAGGAGTTTTACCCTCACTTACAGCTTTGGCACCAATTTGATAGAATGGCCAGTGGATATAATTTTCATGGAAGAACATTATCAGGTTTTTTTTTATTACTCCAAGAAGAAAATATTTACAGAATGGTAGAGCAGATTCTGGGCAATGCTGGAGATAATGTAACAATTCAATGGCCAGAGATAGCAACAGAAATAAAATCAATAATGGGTTTGAGATGGATTATAGTTTTGGCACCACATATTTAGGTAATATAATCCAACTATCAAAAAAGCAATAACTAAGAAATAGTTAGATAAGGACCCACCAACAAAAGGAGAGTGGATAGCAATAATAAAGGAAATATATCAAATGGAGAAACTGACCTGTTCTCTAAAGCTTTGTATCAATCAATTCCATAAGTATTGGTCCAAATGTTGTATACACATGAATATATATATATTTATAGAAAGAAAGGAAATGTGACTTTTTTTTTCTCCTCTTCACTCTCCTTCCTCTTGGCTGTGGTCTCCTCTTACTATCATATGCATAACGCCTTCATAACCTTTTTGCTCTGATTAATTGCATTACATTTCAGTCAGGCATTTCAACAAACTATCCCTGACAATGCAGTCATTTATAATTAGCGTTTTGCAGTCTTAATAAATTATTTAATGTATGTATATAGATATATTTATATATATATTTATATATATATATGTGTGTCCTTAATGTATTATATGTTGTATGTATATATGTTGTATGTAGATTTGGAGTTGTAACTTAAGTAATTTCCCACTGGGATTATTAAAGTATTTCTGATTCTGATTCTGAATATTTTGTTTTGTGATACTAGTTCAAACCACTGTATTGATTTTTGTGTTTAAACCCCTACATAGCAATGTTAAAACAAATATAAACTGAGGGCTATGATCTTGGATGATACATACACACATACATTATATATAAATCACATGTAGGGCCTTTAGTGCAAAAATAAAGCTCAAATATTGGCCAATTAAAATAAAACTATCAATACAAAATACCAGCAACAAGCTTAAAAGATTGGTCTCTGCAGTGACCAACAGATACCTCTTCATATCGAACAAGCTTGAATTGGGGCTTTAGCTTTTAAACCAACATATTATTGATATTATATCGGATATCTCACCCAGAATAATAAACATCACAACATACCGTAAAATTCATGACACTCCACTTTCTGCAAAAAAGAAAAATCAGAAAAACAATAGATTACTTACTGGTGAATAAATCCCTTTAAACTGAAACAAGAAGGCAACTTGCTGAAGTCGATAACTTACAATTTCCTGTGAGTTCACCTGGACCCAGACATACGAGACAAAAATCAGTGTGACTCCCCTCATCATCATCATCATCATCATCATCAGCAGCAGCAGCCTTAAGAAAACAGTAGAAGAAAAATGAGAGATACTGGCATATTTACAAGTCACAGCATCTTTAAAACTGACAGAGAGGCGTGTGAGTGACCTCCTACCTGCGGGGCACTGGAGTAAACAGTTTCAGTGAGACGCTGACCTTGTTCGTTAACTTATAAATACATCCCGATAAGCCCCGCCCATCGCCGGGTGGCCATCTAGTCCCAGTGCATTACGAGAAAGGTATGTTTGGACTCTTTCTGCTGCTTAACTTCAGTAATTCACCTTATACAGTGTCTTTCTGTCTTTGTTGGCATTACTCGGGCGCCACGTCGGTTCAAATTACACGTAGTTTTTTAAAGTTACATTGAGTTATTTACTGCGGTGTAAACTGCAGCGAGCCTCGTACATCGCGTCCAATAGTTCATCTGAGGTTAATCAAACTAACGGTTAACGTTAGAAATAAGTCTCAATGGCGCTGCCGACATCAGCCTAATCCCTCTAAACATATTAAACACTGTCCCAACATACTTTAAAGCGTGTGGAGCATCTGCGGTGTGTTTTAACGAGCAGAAATATGTCTGTAAATGTAGCTGGGTGCTGGTGTGGACCTATAGACTGACCGATAAGCTAACGGTTGCGAAATTGGCCTTTCATCGTAAACATTAATATTCAGACTGAAGACAGAGGTTAGCATCCTGCTGCTTCACGCTTGTTGGGATTTTTCTTATTTTTTTCCAGTTTATTACACATTTCAGGCTGTTTGCAGAGTTCAGCCTGACGATAAAAGTGCTAGTGAGTATCTGTTTTATTGGTGTAAGAGTGCTGACCTACTTAGATATCCCTGCCTTGTCTTAGCAGAGAAGACTGCACTTTCTCTGTGGAGTAAACGCACTACGGAATAGCCCTTACACTGAATATTTACAAGAGCAGACAGTTTATTGCAGCCTTTGCTCTGAAACCCTTTTACACAGAATAGACTTGATACACACTCCTACACTCCTACACACACACACACACACACACACACACACACACACACACTAACCTTTAACACAAAACAATTACATTTACTTTTAAGCTGACTGTGCAGTGTCTGGGTTTTATCATGATGAATCACTAAGTGAGACTGATGTATAGAGGAGTGTTTGCTTCTTCCTTTTTGAGACACACAGGACTCTATTTGTCTAATAAGATACAGGCATTTGGCACTTGATGACTCAAACAGCAGTGAGTGAACCGTGACAAATAGCCGGGGCTCCAGCTCCAAGTAATTTCTAGTTGTTCCTTTAACTGCAGGTAATTTAAACAGTATGAGCTGAGGCTATGAGGAGGAAAAGGTGTGGCTCAAGTAATAATTAATGAAATGTCAACCAAAAGCCTCCCTGTGCTGTCCCTCAGTGTTTGCGGACATGTAAATTTCATTCAGTTATCAGTTATAGTAGTTTCTGTTCCAGACCCAGATTGCCCCCTCCAGTGTGTCCCTAAATGTTGCTCTTGTTATTTACAGTGAATGAAGAAAACCCTCCCAGAACCAGGATGTTGTCTTTGGCCACGTTAGGCCAAACTGGAGCCCGACGAGTTGTGACCGTGACTCGAGGGAGATTTATGAGGGATGGCAGGTGCCAGTTCACTCGTTTCTCAGAATCTCATTATGTTCCCAGGACCAGACATTTCAGATGCTTTAGTGCCACAGCTGCTCATCTGAATGCTTCATCATCAGCTACGCCCGGTCAGAAAACACCCTCCTACAGTTATGTCATCATTGGGGCTGGGTCAGCGGGCTGCGTTCTTGCCAACCGCCTCAGTGAGGATGCCCATGAGTCTGTGCTGCTGCTGGAGGCTGGGCCTAAGGATATGCTGCTGGGCAGCGTACGACTGTCATGGAAGATCCACATGCCGGCTGCGCTGACCTACAACCTCTGTGATGAGAAGTACAGTAGTTAAATCATTGCAGTGCAGTATAAGGCTACTTTGTTTGCCCTAGTGTCTGTCGTTCATTGCTACACACTAGACTGTTTCCAAGTGTGCATTAACACAAATTACTGCAACACAAATGTATTTCTTTTAATTTCTCCTCAGGTATAACTGGTACTACCACACTTTACCTCAGGCCCACATGGACAACCGGGTGATGTACTGGCCAAGGGGCCGTGTCTGGGGCGGGTCTTCTTCACTCAACGCCATGGTGTACATCCGCGGACACGCTGAAGACTACAACCGCTGGCAGAGAGAAGGGGCTGAGGCTTGGGATTACGAGCACTGTCTGCCTTACTTCAGGAAAGCTCAGTGTCATGAGCTGGGAGAAAACCGGTACCTACCGTTTTATCCTGGGTGATCAGACTGTTTATTCATAAGGTCTGACTGGATGATTGCTGGCATGAAAGTAAATGAGATGTTATCTGATTACTACTTGTACACAACTTCTTACAGAAAGGTAGCACTGCTGATAAGATTGATATCTTTGCAGTATTGATCGTTGAATACCTATAGATTGATAGATAGGTAGATAGATCTGATAGCACTGCTTTCATCTTTGTGACACATTCAATTTGTGTTTTTTGTGTAGATACCGTGGAGGCAGCGGACCTCTTCACGTGTCTAGAGGCAAGACCAACCATCCCCTTCACAAGGCTTTTATTGAAGCGGGGCAGCAGGCCGGATACCCCTTCACCGATGACATGAATGGATACCAACAGGAGGGTCTCGGCTGGATGGATATGACCGTTTATAAAGGTTGAAGGAAAAATAAACTACTATAACTAGGATCTACACATGTTTAACTAATAACCATTGGGAACACTTGTAATGTACACATTTTATGTACCAAGCCTTTCATATTGTCAACATCTCACCTCCCAAATCTGTCCAGGGAAGAGGTGGAGCACAGCCAGTGCCTACCTGAGACCCGTCCTGGGTCGATCCAACCTGAAGACTGAGGTGCGCTGCCTCACCACCAAGATCCTGTTTGACGGCACCCGCGCGGTGGGTGTGGAATACACGCAGAATGGACAAAAGAAAAGGGTAAGATGGATAGAATTTCTATGTTTTAAAAGATTGGGAATAGAAAATGATGTTGTGAAAGGTAATATCACTACTCATGTCTTTATTTATGTAGATCTTTTTAGCTTTTTTTAGCCACACTAGCGAAGTCAGAATTTTCACTTATCTAGTAAAAAAGTCAACATTCATTGTTTTCTTACTTTCTTGTGTTATCCATGACATTTTCAATAAATATGCATCTGCCTGAGTGGTTGACCTATTATACATATCATATCATAAAATCAACACCTTCACGGTTCCCGGTCAATATATTCAAATGACTTCCGCCATTAAGGTTGACATTTCCATGTTATAATTATGATGAGCATTTATCTCACAGCACTAGCACAAAAGCATCTAGCGCGGTTGCTGACTTGCAGTCTTGTTAAGTGATTCACACATCAGTTTTCCTGCTCTTTCGTCAGGTGTTTGCAGATAAAGAGGTAATACTGAGCGGAGGAGCAATCAACTCCCCACAGCTTCTCATGCTGTCTGGGGTAGGAAACGCTGATGACCTGAAACAACTTGACATTCCTGTTGTTCAACACTTACCGGGTACATTTTGTGCACTTAGAGATGTGTTTTGTAACCCAGGAGGTGCAGGAGTTATAGAGTTATTTAATATAAGCACATTAAACACATCAAACACCCAACATGGATAGATTGACTTATTTTTACCCATTTCACACTTTCAAACAGACCAGACCTGGAGTGCATGGTATTATAATGACTGACATTCATGCCTCTCTTTGTCCTCTCCTCTTTCTGTTGTTTGTCAGGTGTTGGCAGTAACTTGCAGGATCATTTGGAGCTGTACGTCCAGCAGCAGTGCACTCAGCCCATCACCCTGTACAAGGCCCAGAAACCTTTCCACATGGTCAAGATAGGCCTGGAGTGGCTCAGCCTGTTCACCGGTAACCAAAGGCACCGCCACATGCAAATGACAACACACACATTGTTCACACGTACTACAAAAATAGTTGTTTATATCACTGAACAAACATTCATAAAAAGGAGTTAAAATCATTTGAAAATCCCCTTCCTTCAAGTCAATTTCACTTAATCTGTTAATAAAACAGGAACGCACCCATTTGCTATTTGACCACAGCTTGTACGTCACAGCTGGTGTCTATCACAGCATTTAAAGGTATCTTTTAATGGGCATTCTTCATCAGGACTCATGAATCATTGTGTGAAATGTGATGTTTACTTGGACAGAGTACAAAGTGGGCAAACTGCCATAAACACTAACAGTGTCTGTATGAAGTGTCTTTCATGTATCCCACCATTTCACTTACCACAATGATTGTTCCATAGGCTATGGAGCTACAGCCCACTTGGAGAGCGGAGGGTTCATCCGCAGTCGGCCACACGTCACACACCCCGACATCCAGTTCCACTTCCTGCCTTCGCAGGTCATTGACCACGGACGAGTTGCCTCTAAGATAGAGGCGTATCAGGTGTGTGTGGCTTGTGTTTAGGAGACGGTCACTGTGTTTTGTCATTAATACACAGGTCATTTGCCTTTGACTTCACATGGTGTGTGTGGCAGCTTTCAGGATGTATGATTGATGATATTGTTGCACAGGGAAATGTGTGACTTGTGCATATATGTTGTTGTTCCTGTATAGACTGAAACTGATAACACCTTCACATAATGCACAAAACCACAAAGGAGTGTTTATACACGTTGTCCATTCCATTAAAAACCACAATTACCACAGGTGTTTAATGAAACAAAAGGAGCTAGAGATTTCCTGAAAGCAGTTGCTCAATGTTATTTATAGCTTCTTTCAGAGTACTGTACCCACCAGGAACAAATAAAGATTATGTCATCGTTACCAGTTTTTATGTACGCTCCAGAAATCAGGCTTCTGTTATACTGCATTTTTTTAATTTGCAAAGGACTTATGAATACCATTTGGCATAGTGTTCACCTACCTAGACCTAGAAAAGATAATAAAGCAGTGGGGTTTTTTAAGTGTGAACTGGATGTAGGCGTAGTCAAGAACGAACAGTGGTTTCTTTACTTTCCCCCCTCACACAATATAGAGTCTGATGTTTTCCAGGAATAGATTTTTGAAGAAACTCTTGATTTATCTGTGTAGCTGCTCCTGACGCGAGGGGTTTTTATTGCACAGAAGAAGGTTTAAAGTATGTGTGGTTTTTTTCTGAAATCTGGAATCAGTTCTCAGAAAGACCCAGAAGTTCTTTAATAAATGTACTGCTCTACTGATTTTTATATTTCCAGAAATCTCAAACACTCTTCTAACCATCTGGATGAAATATAATTTAGATAAAAAAGATTTTAACCCATTTCTTAAGTTGGGTCACCTTTTTTTTCATCCAAACAAAGACGGTAGTTTTAGTTTTCATTGGTTTTATTATCTGTTATGCTTGTCTATATTGTTTTACATTGTATTATTTCATTTTTCACACAAAAAAATTTAGGTTTATGTTTTTCTTGTGCCCTCCAAAAAGGAAAAACAACAAAAACAAGGAGATATATGTGTCATTTGCTGCTGTCTGGATAAGAAATACAGTGGCAGCTTGAGAAATAGGTTAGATAATGTTTTATTGTGCAGCAGACAGGCTATGTTATCATCCAAGTGATTGTAGAGTCTGAAGATTCTGAGACTTCAGGAAAGCAGTAAGTATTATTAAACAGCCTTGTGGGTGTTTATTATTATGCTCAGCTCCGTGGCTGCAGCGTAAAAATGGTAAAACATGAGATGCACAAACTGGAGCTAAAGCCATACACACAGAAAGACATACTGGTTGCTGTAATCATTCTTCCTCTCATCTTCATTCTGGCAGGGAAGCTATACCTTCTAGCTTGACTACACTGTGATTATTGATTAATATAAAACATATGAAACATATTAATGAGTGATTCTGTTCGTGACGCAGGTTCATGTCGGACCAATGAGAAGCGCAAGTATCGGCTGGATGAAGCTGAAGAGCGCCAATCCTCTAGATCACCCGATTCTGCAGCCGAATTATCTTTCCACGGGTAAGATTCAGTCATGGATCAGTACCAGATTCATCAAAGGTCTCGAGAACTTCACTCTATCTCCCAAGAGAATAAACTTTCTGAAACCTCATTTGTGAATTTCAGTTGAGTTTTGTAGCACATTCCTAATCTATTAGTTTTTATCTTCTTTATCTCCTGTTAGATATTGACGTGTGGGAGTTCAGGGAGTGCGTCAAACTCTCCAGAGAGATCTTCGCTCAGAAGGCCTTTGACATGTTCCGTGGGTCCGAAGTCCAGCCCGGTCCTCAGGTCCAATCCGACGCCGACATCGACGCTTTCGTCCGCCGTAAAGCTGACAGCGCCTACCACCCGTCCTGCACCTGCAAGATGGGCTCACCTTCTGACCCGATGGCAGTCGTCGACTCCAACACCCGCGTTCTCGGTCTGGAGCGGCTGCGCGTGGTCGACGCCTCCATCATGCCCAGCATCGTCAGCGGCAACCTGAACGCTCCGACCATCATGATAGCAGAGAAGACTGCTGACCTCATCAGAGGTCGCCCTCCTCTTGTCGACCCAGAGGTTCCCGTGTACCATCCGCCGACACTCAACACACAGAGATAAACCAAGAGAGCGAGGAGCTGAAGGAGAGGAGTAACAGCCGGCGCCATTCAGCACTCGAGTAAAAGGGTACGTGTGGATCAGAAAGAGTTCACAACATAATCAGTCATTAGACAACAACAGCAGTGTATTGTGTGTTTGATCGGGAGCTGATCACTTTGCCTTTGATCTAATATCGTAAATGAATAATGTGAGCGTGTTGTCTTGTTGATTTGCACACAACATAGCGTATCAGTGTTAGATGTGTCACTGTTGCACACTATTAATTATGAAGGGCTGATCTACATGATCTAAATTAAAGGCCATAATGGTGTTGAATGCAGTTGATTTTAGCAGTTTACCTCTCAGACATCGTTTATGTCTTAAGTAATCTTAAAACTAATGTGATGAAACTTTCAGGCACCCTGATAATGGTTCTTTCTCCTGCTTAGTTTGGGAAGCGTTCAGTGACTAAAACCAGCTTTTAGCTCAGGTTAACTGAGGTGACTCCTCAGATTGGACCAGCCAATTCAGTTGATTTTACTTCTAATTTGGCTAAACTTTATAGAATTTACTTACAACCACACTAAAACCCCTTTTCTTGCCTCATTGTTTTAAAGTTAGACATTTATAAAGTTCAGCCGTGTGCTGGAACTTTCTGATGGCACGATACGGTTGCTAGGAAGATTGCTGAGCAATCGCAAATCCACTGCGAATGTAATGGAAAATGCTGCATTAATATGACTTAATTTGCCTAGTATTGCCTTGTTCAATATGAACAATGCCCCAACTTTGATATGTTTGTATGTGTTTTGTGTTAGTTGTGTTGCACACTCTGAAGTTGATATGACTTACAAACTGCACAAGACTACAGTCAAATATAAGCCATATAAAACAGCTGCAACACAAACAATGCCTTAACCCTGCTTCCCATTAAAACTGACACATGTTTTCAATGTTCTAGTATCACAATGGAAGAACGTGACTTCTACCACAACAACAGAACAGCTATATATTATAACTCACATGCTTTTTAAATGCCTTCTTTTTTTCACCCCACTGCATTTCAAAACCACTTTCTCATCAGCCTTCATAGATTGCGATTTCAAATGTTGAGTGATCGTTGTTGTTGCTAAGTGACTCATTATCAGCAACCCTTGGTTTCAGGCAGAGTGTTAACCCAAGCAGTCTCAGTAGCAGTTTTTGTTTGTCTGGCCAGATCATTTATCACCACCTTCCTGAAAAAATGCAGATTCAGCCGCTTGACAAAAATACTGGTTTGTCGCACACACTAAGAGAGATTTCACACTAGTCTTTTTGGAATTTGGTCATATACATTGTTTTTAAACCCAGGTTAAGAGAAACCATACCAGACTCAGTTTAACTGTGGTAGGATCCATGTGCAGTCACCAACTTCAATCCTCACTCCCACAGGAAAATGTATGTGTATTTTTGTGGTGAAACCGTTGTTTGAGGTATTATTGTATTGATGATGAGACAACAGTAGAGATAAAATGCCTAAGACAGTTGAGAATTTTTCCTAAGAACTCTTGGGCTCTTTTTTACAGCCGTGCCTGCATAACTTCCGCCTTTTCCTTGGTACATGCTCATCACCGATCTTGTTTTCTGGCAGTTGTAGCGCACAAGCACACACTGCTGCTCCAGACAAGTGGATTGTGGGTCAGAACAGTAGTAAAAAGTGATGACAATCGAACGCACAAACCTGGAGTTGCCTTTTTGCATTGCCACCAAACGTGATTTTATATCACAATCAAAGTATTGACATGAAGCAGTTCAAGTACCAATATTTTTAAATAGTCTTTGTGTAGTCTTGCATGCGTACAGGGGAGGAATAAAACTGATCCTCTGTGTGAGCTCTGTCATGCTGTTGATTGCTTTGAGTGATCTTTTTCATATATAAAGGTATTCCACCTTTTGGTTCAGGCCAGTCTGCTTGTGGTTTAATGTAAGTAGCAAATTATAGCTCAGAATATCCAATCTATAGATACTGTGTTAAAAATACTCTTGTATGTAAAATATACACTATAAAGCAAATCTTTAGCTTTTTTAAATGTTTTGTGGATGTTTACAAAGAATCTTTTGAAGATGATTATGTATACCTGATCAGATAATACCATTGGTGCCTCTAGAATCATTATGTTCTGATGTCAATGTCAATTACCGTAGATATACAGTATGTGACTGATGAAGTCTGTTCCACTTTGGTCCAGCCAGGACTAATATATGTTGGTATCTTCAATCTGAAGTATTGATTTAAATCATTTTTTTGTTATCAGCTCTAATGGAATCAGCACAGTGCCAGAATGCATTATAATCTTATTAAGCATCGCACTACACTATGAAGTATCTTCCTTTCTGTGACAATTAATGTTTACATTATATGCAGTGTTGTACGATATTACTTGAATTTTTAACTCATTTGTGTCCCAATGAAGGAGTAACATGTTGATTGTAAAGGGAAAACTAGTGTGAAATTTCTTCCAGCCTTTATGTTTGCATGTGTTTTTTTTTTTTTCCTCTTGATTGTAAACAAACACTTTTCAGACCGTCCTGACCTTGTCCTCGTGACTTTATTCAGTGATCCTTACAAAAATCCTCAGCAGGTTAATTTCAGGCAAGAATTCAAATGTACAAAACAGGGTTTTTGTTTTCCATTGGTACAAAATCTATAATATAAGGTACTAGAACTTATGCTACAAAGTAGATGGAGCTATATTTTTTAATTTCCATACAACAAATGGGTAGAAAGCAGAAATCTTCAAGTTCATCACTTATTTTTTTTTACGAACACTGTACAGATTTCATACATTGTCAGTTCACCTGTAAAGCAGTGGAACAGTACAAAAAAATAAAGCTGTCAGTCGCACAACAAAGCTTTGTGTTGTTTTTTTGTCACTACAGTTCTCTGAATAAGTCTAAATTTGGATGTATTTGGATAGTTGTACTGTGACTAAAGCGCGGATGAGCGTTGTTTCTGTTGCTGCTGGACTGTATAGTCATGTGCCAATCAATTTAGATTTCATTAAAATAGTTATTTTTGTAAAAACCAATCAACGATAACAATAAATGACTCATTTCTTTCTTATTTAAAAAATGGTTTTGATCTAGTAATTAGTATCTGTTTCTCACTCCTCAACATGTAATTTACATCAGACAGAAGCCGCTGTAGGAGTTGAAGAAAACATGGCCGGCTCTTGAGCAGGAGGGCCCGATGTTCAACCATCACAGGTTTGATCCCTGCAACAACCATAGAGTCCAATCCGACTGCACAGGACACTGCAGCCCTGCATTCTATGGGGTGCTTTATCGGCTGCTCGCCTGCTCAGAAATGTGGGATATGCAGCAACTATACAAAGTGTAATATGGCTTTTGAAGTGCTCCTAATTACTAAAATATTTTTCAAATTGTCATCAGAATCCAAAACTGAATTACTGGCTGTATTTGCACAAAATCAATATATTTTAAAATGGTAACTGGGGGATTGTGTGAGGGATTTTTTTTCAGATGTTGGTTCAGATTTCAGTGCTACACATACTAGAAGTCACCTGTCAATCAAACACTGGAGATGACTTTCCTGTCTTTGGATATGTGAGTCTCAGATCACCATTAACCAGTCCTAATTTTGCCCAGTCAGATTAATCACTGCAGAAAATGATTTTAATTACATTATTACTACTTTAAATACCTTTTCTTCAATTTTGTGCAGATGCGGCCTTTCCCACAGTTTTCCCTGACACATTAACCAACACACCCGGATAGGTACAGAGGTATTAATAACATTTGTCAAAAGTCTTAATTAAACACAATGTCCATGCAGTTAAAAAATGCATAAGTCATATTTATCAGCTGTATTGGCCATTAAAACCTGTATGTGTGAATCTTCCGGACAGAAGAAGGAAGGAGTGCATTTACAGTACATATTCCAGATACCAGCTCATATCCTGCTGTACGTTAATCTTTATATCTATATTATCTGTATGCAAGACAAAAAAATAAAAAATCAACAGCAAACTCTTTTCAATATTGGCATCAACCTTTTGTCATTATTGTACACATGAAATGTGTATATGTCAACAACATGAAAATGAAAAGTAATCGATGCATCTGGAGTAATATTTGAATATTGATGTGCCTGTAAATGCACTTAATGATCCCTTGTTTTGGTTTTACATCCGAAGGAGCCCTTTGATAGCACAGAGCAAACATGTTGCCCTGATTATTTAAACTGAGGAAAAACTTGCCCTGCCACAAGCCAGTGTTGGTTTGTAAAACTTGACCTGAAGACGTTATTACAGTTGGCAGTGGTAGACAGTCACTGGTTAGTGGTGGAGCAAATGTGAAGGTGAGAAATGTTGCTTCTCTTCAGTGTTTTTATCTACGAGCAGGTTGTGAAGTTCTCCCTTCACAGACAACAACTGTTTTAGACATCTTGCGCACTTAAACTGGCATTGAAACAAAAAGGACTCCTACATAAAAGGCAACATCTAACATCAATCATTTTCATTTCATTTCATTCCAAAACACACAATATACACCCAACAGCAATATACTGAATTTCTATATTCAGAAAAATATAGTTTTGCTTGCTTTCTGTTGTGGCATTTTAAATATACAATATGTAGATGGTGACAAATAGCAAATATGTGTCAGACCTTTATGTTCCAGATCTACTTACTTCATCGGCCACATCGTGAAACAAGCCTGAGAGAAATTACACTGCTCAGCAAGTGAAACTCAAATGTGACGTGCGATTCACAGAACTGAAGTGGCCTGAAGGAAAGCTTACCGGCTACAGCGGCAGTAAATATGACTAGGGTCAGACAGACGATCCTGTTGTGGTGACTTTGTGCTTCAGCTATGAGGAAGGAACATCTGGATTTCCTTTTTTTTTCTTGTTGTTTTTTGTTTTTGTGTGTGGTCATGAGGAAACATATTATTAGTCGATGTCTCATGCAGCAGTTTCACAACCCAGACTGGTAAGACCGCTGTACCACAGCATTATACTGTATTTGTCATACAGAAATATAAACCTTTCCTCCACAGTTGTTATCATTCTCAGTGTGAATACTGAACTTCACGTTCAAAAAGTCTAAAGCAGGTCTGAGTAAAGCGAATCATTGCATATTCTGATTGAGTTTGTAACAATGAAATGGTCTCTCCTCACAGTTTTCAAGGGGCTTTGATATAAGTTAAGGATCATCATGGAAACAAGTCTGTGACATTGTGGTATCCTAAATTTGCCTTTATTTTCAGGGTGTTTAAAGTAATCAAGTCAATATAATTGGTGTGTAATTAGTGTCTCTGTTGTTGGTGTAAGGGGGGGAAGGACTTACAGTATGTTTCTCTGTGTGTCACATCAGTGTGCAGTGAAACAGAAGGATATGCCTGAGGACAAAGTCTTTTTTCGTTGATATGTGATTTCCTTTTCAAGTCAAGTACCGAGACAAGCAACGTTAAACCCTGAAACCCTGAACTGTGAACCCAGAGCAGCTCCTAGATTCATACCTAGCAGCTGCGATGGCTTTGGATCAGCCTGATCGTCACTGCACTGAGAGCAGCAAAAAACAGAAAATAAAATCAAGTTGTTTTGTGTCATTTGAGTCATGGAGGTCAAAATGTAATGTAAATAACAGCAGCAGATCAAAACTGCATCTGTTATCGTGACCACGAAAGGTTAAATCACACATTATATACATGAAATGAAACTCAGCTAACTCCTGGAATCACTGGGTAGCCATAGACATTTTGCTGCAGGGCAATGCAGCTTTGCAAAGCCAGCTTCACTCTTTGGAGACTAGATCAATGTGAAATCACTCCCACCAGTTTACAGCTGGTCTGTCACTGGTCAGTGCTTCTGAAAACGTTCAGTCTCTCATCACTGTTTTCAGTAAAACCACACACATTTCATACAGTGCAGTCTGTAAGTGTTTAGAATGGTTTTATGTTTTAGTGGCTCCTCATTTTGAGTGAACAGTGTATGTGGTCTTCATACAAAGTCGCACAATGTCAGGATACAACAATGACAGGCTCACAGTCCCAGTTCACCCAGTATGGATGCAAACACCCTCAAATTAAAGCCTTCAAAGTTGTCGTTTCATTTCAAATCCAATATGCTGCAGAAATATATGAATAAAGAAGTACCAACAGACTGCACACATAACGTAAATGTTATCACATCATCATAACTGTGTATCAACTCTCCATTTTACCAAACTGTCTGACTTTCAGCTGCTGGATGTTGTTAGTAAGACTAACTTCACAAGCTGTGGGCTGGCTCTGTGAGGCTGCCAGGTTATTCTGCTCTCCCAAACCATTGTCAATAATAAAGAAAATAGAAAACAACCTCTTGGAAGTATCCTGAATTCCTGCTAAACGACAGGCGTGCTGGCAGGCAGATTTTCGCTGTGGTTTCAAAATCTGCTGAATGTATCTCTTCCGTGAATCCATCCGTTTCAATTCTCCACTCCACAGAAAGAGAAAACAAGGCACTTTGTTCTCTTATCCATCCATGTTTTACATGTTCTGTCTATTGCAGGATGCACCTGAACAGAGACATCCCCTCACTGTGGAACAGTAGTAGAAATCCAATTGAAAAAACCTAAATAATCCCATGTGTGAGCCGCTGCTATAGCGACGTGATGCATATCATCTCATCTGTTAGGTCCTCCTCGCATTTCACAGCCACGTACGGCTCCTCATCGCTGTAGTCACGGATACTGCGGTCTCTAAGATGCGCAGTGGCATGTGGGTCCGTGCTGACACTCCCCGTTTCACCAGTGTTGCTGTTATCCATACTGCCGTTCAGCAGGTTGCTGGCAGCGCTGTCCATCTCATCAATGGTCAACTCGCAGGCGTCTGCGATTTCATGTTTGGTCGCTGACACAAACTTGGGGTCCCTGGCATATTTCCCCAGACCCTCAGAGATCAACACCTGAGAACAACAAGTGAAAAAAATATTATATCAATAAATTCACTAAATATCAGTCAAAGCAATTATCAAGAGGTTTTTTGACATTGAAAATAATAATTACATCCTTCCTCTAAATTACAGAATGACTGTGATTTATATGTATTTTTAATTTCCACAGACAGATATTTTTCAGATGTGGCCTGTGATCCATGGATAAAAGAAATGTTTTTTTACTCACAGCCTCCACCAGACTGTTGGCACTGCCTCTCTTCTGCAGAAAGTGTGGGCAGCTCTCTGCAGGTAACTGCAGACGGGACGGAGAGTGGCTGCGGCTGGGAGGACCTTCCAGACCGTCTGTATACCACGAACTCCTCTTCACTGCGTTGGGGATGCTGCCGACGCTGCCGGAACTGCGCCAGTCCACCTGAGTACACAGACACACACACACACACACACACACACACACACACACACACACAGACATGCATGTTTTTACACAAGACACTGATTGAGATGCTAATTTTATAAATGAGATCAGATTGGCTGGTAGATATAATGGCATAATCAGTATGAAGAGTAATCAGAAAAGCATTCACACATTTTCACTTCTACAGTAAACATTTTTTCTGTCCTCACACTCTCTTACTTGTCCTTATTAAGAGAAGAAGAAAGTAAAATTAAGATAAACCACTTGTTTTTGGGACGTTCCTCCGTCTGTCTTCCTTTTTTTCAATTTTAGCCCACTAAACCAGAAATTAGCACATTTTTAAACCTTAAAAATTCATTTAAAATCAGGTCATACACACACTTTCAAAAGATCACTAAAGTTTAGGCTCATCTTTAAGTCTATCCGGTTTTCAAACCTGTGAAGCTTAATAAAAACTATTCTACATGTTTCACCAACATTGCTGTGAACAACCTTTAGACTTGGGTGAGGACTGTTAACATTTACTTTCACATCTAAGGCAATATTAACCTAATCTTGGTAAAATGAAAGACGATCTGTGGTTTATCTTAAAATGTGGTCTTTTATGACACAGTTTATCACACATCATACTTGTATGAGTGGTGTGTAGCAGGGCGAGCAGTCATGACTGATGGGCGAGGCAGGTGGCGTGGCCCAGGAGCGAAGCGACCGTGCAGGAGACAGGTGGTAAATTCTGCTGGCATCGAGACCGGCCACCGCCATTACCTGATGTTGGATTTCCCAGGTCACGACAACAAAGAAAAATCAATAAAGGCCCACATGGGGGTAGGGAGAAGAGACAAAACAGGCCTCTTACTTGCTATTCTTGTAACAATTGTGTTTTGTTACAATATTGTATATGAATTTATCACAGTATTCGTGAACAGAAAAAGGTGCATGTGTGTGTGTGTCCACCTGTTGCTGCACGAGGTGTAGTGGAAGAGCTGTGCAGGATGGAGAGGCAAGGGCCTCATCCTGACTACTTCTTCTACGAAGACACTCAAAACTGAATGTTGGCCTGTTTGAGGCTGAGAGAACACACAGGAACCGAAAATGATGATGAATGATGACTGTGACAATCCTTAACTAACAAAGTTGTTACATTAGTAACTTACAATGTGCAATTACATTTGATTATAATTAGATATGTGTAATAAATCTTTAAATACTGACTTAACGATCATTAAGGAGAAATAATTTCATCTGAATAACATAAAATTGTCAAACATTAAATCTGACAGTGTCGGGGAATCACAATCACCAAACAACTGTAGAAGTTATTCAATAAGTTATCACCTTGAGGTGAGGGTAAAAACCATCTCCTAGGCGAACGCCTGCCATCTTGGTAGATTGGCTGTTGGTCATCGTCATAGTAACCATCAGACTGGTGGTCATCCCTGGAGACCTCAAGGTCAAAGTCTCCCTCTGCATCATGCTGGTCCTTATTGGACAACCTGTGAAACAAAAAGAGCATTTCTTTATCAAAGTGATCCAGCCGAAGGAATTATTTTCAGTGTTGTATAAAAAAAGAGACTAGAAACAGGTAGCAAACAAGTAGATTGATATTGTGTTGTTACTGGTGAGCATTGCCAGGGATGCACCAAGTGCTCATTCTAGATATATTGTAGAAGAATGTAGCTGCCAGTCAAGAGAGAAAATACTTGTATAAAGTCACATTAAATACAAACATGGCAACAGTCCACGTGGTGGAGTGTCAGCTAGTACCTGTCCCTTTTGAGCATAATGTCATCTTCGTGAAACTCTTCACCACTGTAGTACTCTCCCGACCCTCGCTCATCATCGCTGTCCCCTCCCCCTGGCTCCTCTCGACGAATGGTGGGGTAGAGTCCACCGCTGCTTTCTGACCTGGCATCGAAATTTCAATGATACAGTGAGTCAAATACTGATTAGTGCAAATTTGACAATAATACATATGGGAAGGGTGTCTTCAGTTGCTGTTTGTTGGAGGTTTATTTCCCCACAGTGCTCGTTCACTATCACGTATATTGAAACTTCTTTGCCAGTGAGAAGTTTTCACAGCATGTTTTGTGACACACCCGCCACCAAAAACAGCTTAAAGTGAAATTAAGCTCTGTTAAGTGGTGACATCATGCACATACCTAATGTAGGCCTCATAGTAGCGCGTCCTGCTCCGAGGACGGGGAGGGGTCAGTCACACAGGCAGGGGTATTTGCAACAGGAGGGCAGGAAAGGAGAGGGAAGAGAGGTTGCATGCAATGACAAAAGACAAGAAGACACAAATTAAAACGCTTACAAGAATAGATTTTTGTTTTGGCAGAGAAGAAACAGTATGAATAGTAACGGCCGAATAGTACCTGACTTTAAATTATGAATAGCTTCATTCTAAATGTGGCTCACTTGAGACTATTACATCAGTAGGAAGTTAAAATGAAAACTGTTGTCAGCAAGGTCTGTGAATGACCCAAAGTAACCAGGACTTTGTTTTGGGACGTTGCTTTTACTTATTGAATTATTTAATGCTGTGAGCACAATGAACCATATTCCATCCACCTACAGTGTATCAAGTATGTATCTGTAAACTCCCATTACCAGATAATCTGGGTCGAACATCGGCACAGACCAAGGTTCTGGACCCGATGTCTCCTCTGAGTGTCAGGAGGGGTGAATCTAAGGTAAATAAGCCAATAGCTCCTGTAGTCTGAGCCCAGCTTTTCTGTCCCAAAGCATACATGGGAAATTACTGTAATGACATTTCCGGTAATATGTAATATACAAAACACATTTATTTTCTGTTAAATCAAGTATATTTGTGGGGCCCAAATCTACACGAAAACTAGGAAAAAACAATAACACAAAAAGAAAATCTTTGTAGAGGCAAATTAAAGAGTGTAAAAGCAAATTACAAAGAAATCCAAAGAGAGGATTATAATATATCTCACAAAAGGATTAATTATTTGTATCTTTTAAAAATAAAAATATTCTATATCAGTTTAGGGACAACAAGTCTTTTCAGTACCTGCTCAAACTTAAAGTGTTTTTGCTTATCAAAAGTTCATTAAGTATCCGTAGTATGATTAATGAAATGAAATATGAATGCAGCACATGTAAGACTCACAGTGGAAATGTCACCTAATATAGCACTTAGGTGATATTTAAAAAAAAAAAAAAAAAATGTAATTTTTTTTTATCATGCATTCATCAATACCAGGAAATTGGGAAGCTGATCTGATACATGGTAATGGTCTTTGGGACAGGAAACTGACCCATAAAGTACAATCAGTTGTGTGGGCAGAGAGGAACCTATGTGGGAAAAAAGCAGACTCGTTCATCAGTCGGGGGTAAACACAGAGCAATGAGATCTAGTCATGCTGAAGGGGAGGCTTGTGGGTAGTTTCAGGATGGGTTTCTATCATATGCAGCCTTTTTTTCCATTGTTCTCCATCATCTGTAGAAAGTTTCAGAGAATAGTCTAGCTTTTGGACTATAGGTTAGACAAAATAAGTCACATTGTGCTCTGGGAAACTGTGACAGGCATTATTCACTATTTTCTGACATACAGCATAAAGGCCAAATGATTAACTGAGAATAAAATCTGCAAAGAATGAATGAAAATAATCATACGTTTCAGCTCTCATGTACAGTGATATATATAAGTAGGTATATACAATAATATTGAATTATCTCCCATCTATATCCGCTTGGCTCCTCTCAAACACTTATCAAACATGCTTTTTTTCTTTACTTTTTTCAGTTTCACTTGCATCAAATGTGAGCATCAAAACTTAGATTGTATATCTGCAATGTACAAGACGCTTCTGGGGCTGCTTTGCTCTCCACAAAACAATATTCTCCTTTAAACAGGAAATCTTTTCTCACATCAAAGTCTGTTTAGGTCTTACTAGCCTACCTTATTAGGTAGTACTGTTGTATGAAAATGTGTATCAAGTTGAACAGCTGTATACATGGTGTGTGGCTCCAGAGGAAGCTACACAACATTTGACAGGTGATCACTTGTAGCTCGCTCAGCTGTTCTGCTTGAAGCTCGAGGCTCGTGGCAACGTTAGCATAACACACATGAATCTCAGCGGTCGCGTTGCATTGTGGGTAATGAATGCATGGAATAAAAGTGATGATATCTCTGGTTCTGCTGCACCATTTTTATCCTTTTCTAAAACTCTCCATTTTTCCAGTGCAATGCTAAATCACTGGAATACTATTTTAACAGAGAGGACTTACCACTTTTCCAGCCCCTTGCTGGTTACATTTATAATAACTGCAATAGTGGGGAACTTTTTCTGTTTAAAACACTTTAAAATCACAATTAGGTCTCAATCCACTGACCTTGTGGAGTGTGACTTCCAAAGTTTGTCGTGTACTCCTTTGCTGTATGTGGACACTGATGATCCAATTTTGGTGGAGGAAGGACGGTCTCGCCTTAACAAACAGTTCTGCTGCCTCCCATTGGTCATAGAAAGAAGTGAGGGCACGTTGGCATTGTTGAGGTTGGCATTGGAGGGAATTGGCGATTGATGGCAAGTGGAAATACAGTGAGGATAATTATAGGAATGAGGGTGGTAATGATGATTGTACTGGATGGGTGAAGAGTTCATGTCTGTCTCCGCTCCTCTGTCGTCGTCGCTGGCTCTCCTGCCTGTCTGGGTGTGTTCAATTGAGGCACTGCAGGAGGAGGGCAGGATCTGTAGTGGCCGTTGGGTGACGGTGGTCGGGTGAGAGTAGCCTTGCTGATCCATACTGACATGGTTGACGTGGTTCCCAAAAAGACTGCCATTACGCTGCAAAGAGACACCAGAAAACCAATGAGAACACTACACTATAAACACACTAAACTATTTAAAGTTTGAAATTCATACAGCTTGATAATAGCATTAATACAGTAACCTCTAAAAAAAAAAAAGGGTATATTGCTGTGGTTACCGTAGCTACAATATGATCCTAAAAATCCTACAATCTCATATCTGAAAGTGTATCAGGTGTTAAAAACTGTTCTAAAATCTAATTGTAACACATTATAACTAATTGTAACACATTATAACAAGGTCATTTAATTTTCTTTGTGAAAAAAACAATACAAACACAAACCAGCATATTTTTATATGTCTTAAAACATGTCTGAAGCGGATGTTTACCCTGTAGATTTCCTCGTCCTCCTCCCCGTTAGCATCTACTAGCCCCTCCTGTTGCAGGTCACATGATATGGCTCGACGGATCTCTGGTCCAATGTCATGCAGCGTGCGCAGGCCGGCCTGCAAAGAGAGCAGCTATAATACCAAACCAACCAGACATTAGAGGCGTTTTATCTACATTTGTACCTCCATCTGGTTGAGTGTTAAAGTCGGCCAAAGTTTCAGCTTTTTCAGATGCAGATATTCTGCTGATTACAGGGTGATTCATAAATGCTGGAGTGAGAGCAAATCTCATATCTTCAGCAGGTTTTCAGCACAGTGTGTAATGGTCACATATTTAAACTGTTGTATATGTAGAGTGTAATCAGTGGCATGTTATGTATAGACAGGTTATGAGTATGGACTTTAATTGTATTTCTGTTCCACCAGTATGTATTAAATGGGTGCAGTGCAGAAGTAACCTTAGTATGGAGCGTGCAGACAGGTGAGGAGTCAGAGTTGATTTGAGTGCTAAACTTATCTCAGGATTGTTAAATCACATCCAATCTGTCCGATGCACTGGTGAAGTGAATCTATAGGATTGTATTCCCATGAAAACGAGCGTGATACATTGTCTTACCTGTAGAGCCATGGTGGTGTTCAGCCTCTCCCACGAGCGCCTTCCCACAAGACCTTGCTCTTTGCGCCTCTTGAACTTCCTGAAGTAGTCCTGTATCAGGAAGGTGGCATAGAACTTCCCCACTGTTACCTCGTCATCTGAGTGGACAGACCAGACACACCAAAGCCTCCCAGATCAACACCAAAATACCGAAACACCTCAACACTAAAAATCTGTCTGCATCCAGAACATAAAATCTCCCTCAACGCACATCTTAGTCGCTACTTAATCACCATCTAAGAGAACAGAAACACATCTTGGTAGAAAAGTCAAATTGCACTTAAAGTATTAAAACCGAAATCCATTAACAGTAAAACATCACAATGATAAAGCACCGCTGCTGCAGAAGGTTGCATGAAAAGACAACATCTTGACAATGAAACACCAAGATATGATCATGAAGCAATTTATCGTAGAAAAATGTTTTATCTTTATGACTTATCTGGATTTCAGGATGCAACACTATGTTATTACCCTCTGCCCTATATCATGAGTCAGACCAGTTCAAAAAGTCAATTCAAACTTAAAAAACATAAACAAAGATGTAGCTACACCTGCTATCTTCCTTGGGACTGTTTAAGAATCAGAGCTGATGTGAAGGGATTTCAGTCCTTCCGGGTTCTGTTATTACAGAGCTGAATGTCATTTTAAAAAATCTGAGATTCTGCAAATGACATTTATAAACACACACTGCACAATGTGTGCAGCAGGTTTTAACCCGATATCAGATAACATCTAATTCTGCAAGCTCATCCTGTTTCATCTTGCATGTGGTTTTGACACACTCTCACACACAAAAAGAAACATACACACACGCATGCGCACACACACACACAAACTCACTGGACCTCTTTATAATTCTGACAAATTTACTGTGAATTAAAATAAGTCTAATCAGTTACTACTACACATACCAGTGCTGCACCATATGGTGACCTACTACATTTAACCTCAACTAGAAAAGTCAGAGCAAGTAGTAGCAAGAAGCACATGCAAGAAGGCAGCGAAGTAAAGAGTTCAGAGGAGCAGCGAAGGTTTAGATCTATGGTTGCCCTTTCAGAGAAAACACAAACTACATGTAGTAACTGCACACTCTATCTGCCATGCAAAAGAAGCTAATCAAGTGTGGGTCTAATTCACTCAGACAAGTGGTTGCTGAAGCAGACAGGGGAGAGAGACAAAAGAACAACGGAGGCTGAATCATGGTGTGTAGGAAATCTGGGGGATTTTTTCGTCGTCACCTTCCATTCACCAATTTTAATTTGAGAAGAACTGAGTGAAGGTGACTATTGTCACATGAGACGGATGCTTTAAAATGGAAGGATCATTCAATCCAACAGTAAGATGATGATCCATCTTAAAGCAGCACCTTTCTCTACAACACCCGACGCAGCCAGAGAGAAACTATGAAAGGCTCTGTTCAGAAAGAAAACCTGTGAACAAAAGCGTATTCAGGGACGTAAAATGTCCTGTTTTTTTTGGTCTGAATCAGATGCTTATGTTGACTTCCTAAACTATATAACAGGCACAGGACATCTGATATGTAATCCATATTTTCAAATGAACTTTAATTGATCAGATAAATCACATGTTCATAACACACCTTTATATATATATAATATATATATGTTGCCTCTATTTGACACATTTTCACTTAATAATAACTATTATAATAATAATAATAATAATAATAATAATAGAAGCAGCTACATTTTCGGACTGTGTTTAACTGACTCACTTGATAAATGGATTTTATTTTCCTTTAAAATGCATCAACCTGGCATGGACAGATCCATATACAGTATATTTTGTGGCCACAGTTGACAGCAGGTTTATCTTTCTGGGCAGAGCCTGATGAAGTTTTTAAGAAAGAGGTATCAGTCGTTTCATGCCACCTAACTAAAACAGAACTGCCCCAAAGAGCTCAGGGCGGCAGAAAGAGAAGACAAGAAGGCCAGCGACTGACTGAGCACTCGACTGAAAGCAGAGGAAGCTGTGGAAGAGAAAGGCTTGGCAGAAAAGATGAAAAAATGAGAAGAAGAGGGGTTAGCAAACTAATGCACACAAAGACATGCAGTTGAATTAAGCCAGCAGAGCTCAAGCATTGCGAGCAGAACAGTGGAAAAATAATATAGGCGCAACTAGAGGCATCTGTATGTACATGTAGACTGGAGGTGCATTCATACTTGTTGACAAAATAATCAGTTACTTTAAGTCTCTCATCTTTGTCTGCTGACTCTAAAAGTGTATTTTCCTTTGCAACTGCTCTTAATATAATGTCAGAGCAGCCATAAATGACTAATATTAAGAAATTATTGGCATATTCCATTTCATACTCATTCAGCTATTGGTAATTGATGTATGCAAATAAAGGTTAATACCTTTATTTGCATACATCAATTACCAATTACCAATTACCAAAAAGGAAATTGGGGGCGCCCGGTTAGCTCAGTGGGTAGAGCTGGCGACTCATGCACTGAGGTTGAGCCCTTGCTGTTCGAATCCGACCTGCAGCCCTTTGCTGCGTGTCATCCCCCCTCTCTCTGTCCCCCCCTCCTGTCCATCTTCAGCTGTCTCTATCATAAAGGCAATAAAAAGCCCAAAAAATACTTTAAAAAAAAAAATGAAAAAAATAGAGGAAATTGATGGTTCACCGAGACTTGTTCATATCTAAATCTGATTAACTCTGCCAGCTGAAATTCTTACACCTAAAAAAAAATCTTTATGAAAGTTCAGCTAAGGGCTTGGCCTGTGTCAGCAACAGAATAACTATATATCTCCATTCATATGATAGAGAGGGAGAGCTAGAGGAAGCGAGAATGCACAGCCAGACAGAGCGAGATTAATGATAAAGACAACAGTTTAACTGTGACTGACTGCGATAAGGAGGATTTCATGTTGGTTGTGGTCAACAACTGGGCCACACGCTTCAGAAAAGTGAAAAACAGGATGCCGAATGCCTCTGATGGATTAACCCTGTATCTGTATCTTAAAGTGATACACCTATGAAAATGTATATAGCCATGGGTTTAAAAAGTTTGTAATCAACTTTTTCGCATAGGGCAACTGTTGTCAGTTTGGATTCATGGTTTCAATAGATCCTAATAGTAATTCCTACAAACCAAAAGTCATTTCTCACAGGAGAAATTCTGACAGTGTCACTACCATTATTGCTTACTGGGACAGTAATAAAACAAAGCCATTGTTAACGTTATTAGTAACACGTGCTTTTCCTGCAATGACAAGGCAAAATGACTGCTGTGAAAAAGGCCTGTCTGGCAGCATAATCCACTTCTGCGCTGTCCATCTGCATGATAAGTGTGCTCCAAACAGAAGACAAACTAAATACGACTTAACACTTTTATTTTTTGAGCTTCAAAGCGTTGAGAGCACCGCATTTAGTTGTATGTGTGTGAAAAGATATATATACATACATACATATGGATGGACAGCAGAGAAGTGGATTATGCTGCAGGAGTAGGTCAAAAGGTTTCTATGTGTGTTGATACATTTTCTCTGCTGTGAAAATTTGTCAATAGTGGAATTCTGACATTAAATTGCCATAGTGTCTGTCTCTGTGTGGAAAAATGATTAACAATTAACAGCCAAAAGACTTTTTTTGGGTGGAGTATCACTCCCCTTCCTTTCTGAAACCTCATAATTTTATCACACCAACATGTATTGAAAGTTAAGCGCAGGGTGAGTTGTTGTTGATGCACAGTATATAGTGGCAAAACAATAGGTGAGACTGCATCCAGAAGAAGAACATACCTCAGCAAAGGACAAGTGCCTTTCTGTAATTCATGTTAATGGAAAAATATTTGCATTCAAATGCCTGCCAATTGTTTAACATCCTTCCTCCTTCTATTAATACACAGATGTGCAATTGTTTGCGGTGTGACCTTCTCCTGCCATTATGTCAATGCAAATTTGATACCAGATGTAAATGAATGTTACAAAATATTATGTTATATTTGTGTCTGGCGGCAGCTGTCCGTTCAAATATACTGCAGTCCACATGTCAGGTTTCCATTATTCATTGTTAGGAAAAATACAAATGAGAAGCAGCGTGTATTCAAATCAACCGAGTGGAAGAACGGTACAGAGGAAGAGAGGAACATGCTGTTTGAAATGTGAATGATGGTGAAAAGCAAATGATTATCACTGTATACTGGAAGTGTTGCCCACGTGTGCCTGTGTGTGTATAATGACCACTGACCGCCTGCTGGGGGCACCACTTGGTCCAGCAACTTCATGCTGGTCCTCTTCCAGATCTTCTTGATCACAGCTCTAAGCTCCTCATTGGCTTGCTCCAGGTTCCCTTGAAATGACAGAAAAGGTTTAACATATAAGTGTAAGTTTACTTTGGTTAAAAGCACCAGTAACTTGGGGGACAGCCTAGTTAAGGGGAACTACTTTACTGATGGGTATCAGAACGTCATTCATGTGTGGACTGTGGGTTTGTTTTTGTGTGGCCTGAGCATTTTGCTGAGGGTACACCTCCATTACTGTCAAGCTCCATGATCCATCAGCAGTTGAACCTGTTGGGGCCAGTCCTTCACCTTTTGATGTCTCTGGTTGTTTTACATTTTTCTTATGGTATGAGAGGGTAGGTATTAGCTATATCTATTTATCATGTTTCACAAGTAAAACACACGCAGCTTGAGTCAGACGTGAAATACGTGTTGGAACACAACGTTGTTCCATGTTCCAGTATACCATATGTGCAGTATCATTGCAGCATGCCTAACACCCTCAGGCCTTTTTTCCTACACTGTACTTCCATTTGGGTTGCAAAATGCACCAGCTACCCTTTTCCACAGTTGATGAATAAGGTAGTTGCTGGGGTTAGAAGGACGCACAGGGTATTTAGATGATATCATTGTACAGTGATACTTGGGAAGAGCATGTACACTGCATCAGAGCCTTGCGTGGGACAATCTTACTGTAAATCTGACTGAATGCACGTTTACAGAGAATTTTGCAGAAATGTTTCCACATAAGTTTCATCTCTTACTAACCCGTTGTTCAAAGGTCAAGTTCGACAGGTCCCGTCAGTTTGCTTTTGAAAATATATCAAATAATAATGTCAAGTGCTTTTTCTTCTTGTCTGGGCAGCTGCCTGTCTGGGAGAACTATTTCAGTTACAGGTAGATGCCAGCAACGTGGGAGCTGGAGCTGCCATGCAGACTGGTACTGATGTAATTGACCACACTATCAGTCTTCTTTCCAGGTAATTCAACGTTTTTTGGGGCCTGAAATACGAGATCTATGTGGGTGGAGGTAAACCCCTGGTAGTAAATTATTTCTCTCTTTATTGCTGAGCTGCCAGGATGCCTTCTACATGGCCCTCATTTTAGATGAGTTTTTGTTATTTTCCTTATTCCTTCCACACGCACACTACTCATCCACACCACTGATGACTTATGTATGTTATGTTTGGTTCAATAAATACATTTGTTGCAACCCTGAGTCAGGTTTGTAACATATTTGTAGTGATAGACGATTTGCACTGTCACTGCTTACCTGCTCATCCAAGTGCCCCCTCTTCATGTTTATATCTACATTTATATCATTTTGTCTTCTTTTTGTATTACATATATATATATATTACATACGTAGTTACATATATTAAATGTGCCCTGTTGGACTGTGAGGAGAGACATATTGAACATCTATACCTCCCTCTTGTGGCAAAATGTTGAATTAGCACTACTACTATAATAAAAGTCAAAATATCATCATGTAACTTGGATTAAAAACAAACTGCATGAGGCATCCCAGAGGAAATAATACATAAGAACCTAATTTTCTTCCCCTTTTTGCACATAACTACCATGATTATGTGCTCTGAGTGCTGACATACACTCAATACTGTGCCTGACGTAGTGTAGACGTAGGTGGAGGACTGAAGCTGTTGCTGCTGTTTTGCAAACCTGCTCCTCACAATTTATTTAATTCTTAATTAAATTAAAGGTCTCTCTTTTACCCTACAGAATGATAATGCACAGCTCAACAAAGCAAACTCACCCTCAGTCTTTATCTTAAGAGCAGTGCGGACCAGAGCAAACAAGGTGGCATTAAACATGACAGTCCCATCACTGTTCAGGGGCATGTTCATTGCCACCAGACGCTGCAAGAGAATTCAAAATACAGATTAATAAGGATGCATCAAATGTGAAATTAGTCAAAGTCAAAGCTATGAATTTATATGTTACAAATGTTTTACAGTTTTCATGTATTTCTGATACCCTCTTTTCTATTTCTGTATAGGTGTGAGTTTGTTGTTGAAGTGTGGAAACCCACCTTGCAGGCCACTCTGTGAGGGCAGAGCTTGCCGAAGCCCAGGGGAGGCTGGATCCTCCTCAGCAGAGTCACTACATCGAGGTGTTTTATCCTGCCCCTGACATCCAGATAAATTCAAACAAAAGGCATTATACCACTGAGCACAGTCTTCACTACCGCCACAGGCCCTGATACTGTAATAACAGATAGATAGATATTTAGAGTTTTATGGCTGTTACAAAACAATGACCATCCCATCTGTCTCTACAAAATGGGACCTTGGTACTCACTTGGCTTCCGGGTCGTATTCGGACCAGATCCTTTTAAACTCATCCAGGTGATGAGGCCCAAGGATGGACCAATCACGGGTCAGATAGTCAAAGTTATCCATGATGACAGCTACAAATAGGTTGATGATCTGAAAACAGGACATGCAAAATTTTTCATGTCATACGTCATCGTGTACAGGAATGTGAATGCTCAAGTCTCAAACATTACTGGCACTGAACACAGTGAAATGTCTGAAGATTACCAAGAAAGCACAGAGCATGTAGAAGCTGATGAAGTAGATAATGGCAAAGCCGCTGCCGCAGGTTCTCTCCTCTCCAGGGTTGTAGTCCGACTCTGAATCACACAGCTTCCCGGGCAGACAGGCCAGCATGATCTCCTGCCAGGCCTCACCTGTGGCACACCTAACATAGAACAAGAAACAACATTAACACATAAGTAGAATAAGGTATTTAAGCATGTACTGTAAAATGATTTCTAATGGCTTGTAAACAACAATTTAAGCTACACAAACACCTGAAGAGCATTAGGACAGCTTGAGGAAAGGTTTGAAAGTTGTTGTTGCGGTTGATTTGCGTTCCGTCCACCATGGCTATTTTCCCAAACACCTACAAGCAAAAATAAAATGATTACAAAATAATGAAAACTGAAGGCAACACATATCCCGCAAGATGTTGACAGGTTCCTGATTTTCAAGAATATACATGGAGACCATATTACCTGCATTCCAATTACAGCATAGATGAAGAACAGCATGGCTATGAGGAGAGCAACATAGGGTAGAGCCTGGTTGGGAAAAAAGAAAGAGTGAGATTTTGTGCAACTATAATAGCACTGCATAAAGTTGTCATTTATTTTCTATGACACTATAGCACTGGCACTGCAGGAATATTTATGTACAAGAAATTAACCTGACAGCAATGTGTTGGCTAATGTAATGCATGCACAGACACAATCAGTACAGTTGCTGTGCAGTGTCTTGGTATCATGTAAGGCTTCAGACTCACGGACATCATTTTTTCAAACTGAATTTTGTTTGGATTTCCTCTTCTCACCTGTACCAACATACTCACACTAACACAACACTTTGACTTTTTCCAATGCTATTTTCCTAAGCCCTATTTCTTATGTTGTACTCATGACAAAAAAGACAACTCAACCTTAACGCTACCCATAATATGCCTAGTGTAGTCTCTGAACTCAATGGTTTATAATGCAGATTCAAGAAGGATGTCTTTTGACTGCAGACATTATAGTCTCACCTGGAAGGACTTGATGAAGGTCCACAGCAGAGTTCTGATTCCCTCCCCCCTGCTCAGCAGTTTGACCAATCGCATCACTCTGAACAGGCGGAAGAAGGTGATTGAGATGCGGGCACTGTCCTCCGTGTTCTGAAGTGGAGGACACGAAGAGTGATTAGGGGATAAAAAACAGAGAAAGCGTCACATCCAAACACAGAGATAAAGCTCTGTACTCCTCATTCATTCATGCATGCAGTCAGTCACACATGCATTCTTTCAATCATCATGTATAAGTCATATTAACTAACAGGCAACGTAAAAGTGGATGAAAAGGTTATGAAGAAATCTTCCCATTTGTGCACTTTCTGGAACTCTGCAATGACAACAATCAATGTGCATGCAGAGGTAACCACGTCTTAAACACCATGCCATAAACAGACCTGGAGGAATTACACATACAGTACATTTAACTCTGGATGACTGATTCAAAACAGGCAACAGACAGAATTTGAAGTCCCAAGACAAACAAACCAAAAGACAAAGTGTTTTACAATCGACTTTTTACAACCGATACAAATATCAAGATGGATCTTTTACTGTCTTGTTACAGTACAGTTGCATAAGACCTTTGACAAGAAACTCAAAACAGTGCACTGACTATACAAAGTTGGTAATTTGATTATTATTGCAAGCACTTGGGCAAGCTATGTTGAAATGAAGAAATGAGACAAAAGACCATACAGTGTTCTCTGTTCCTCTGTGTCATGCCATGCACCCAGACAGGACAAGACCTCAACAAAAATAAATCGGCCGGACCATGGAACTGGAGCCAAAATGCAACAGGTCAATCAAGTGGATTAACAAGACTCTGACAAACATTGAGAGTTCAATCACAAACCATCACACTTCAGTGAATAAGTGAGACCAGAAGCATCTCAATGTTTTCATCAGAGCGACAGAGTGACAACAAAAAGATCTTGATGCTTTGACTTTTGGATGATCACAGAAGGGTGAGGGGCTTTAATAAAAAAAGGAGGGTCTTCTTCTTACCCCTGGTTCCACTATCACCTTGACGACAGGAATGGCTGCCGACTTGAAACCAAAAGCCTGAGGTTAATCCAAGTTACACAAACCAACTGTACAGCACCAAACCATTCACAAGTCAGTGCTTCCGCAAACATCACATATCATCATTACCTTTGATTTATTCAACATGTAATTACAACAAAAACGCTCAGAAGTACCTTCACTTAAAACAACAACACGTTACAATTGAAACCACAAACAAGAACATCGTCATCGTAAAGCGTTAAGATTGTCATGCAAAAGCTTTACCACATATTCTCAGCAGTAACAGCAGACATCAGATACAGACATTCAAAGTTGAAGGAAATTTTTTTTTTTATCAAAATACTATATAGTTTAACAGTTTAACAATGCAGAGAAAACTTTGAATATTATTAATATTGTTTCTTACTACTGTCTACATAGAATTTTCCCCATATACATCTTACATTTCACCCAATGATTTTGCAAATCATGTTGGATGTAATAACATAATTAATTGTTTTCCATTGCTTTGAAATTATAAATATTAAGAATATAATTAATAATATTAAATTAACTGGAGTCCTGGCTGACACAGACATCCTAGAAAAGAAAATAATATTTACATAAATATAATAAGGATTTTTTTAAGTTGTTTTTTTCTGGCAGAGACACAAATCTTTTCCTGTTGACAGTGACTAACTGTCTTTCCAAGACACCATGATGTGCTGTAAACAACTGTCTACTTAGCTCTTACTGAACAACCTCCTGTACCCCCAAAAATCTAGTTTCAAAGCAGGCCACTCAACTAAGACAGTCCTTCTTCATGCTACTAGAGCGAACTCCCTGTCTTTTGTCCTCACGCTTTTACACGTGTCTCTTTAATTTGACAAAGTGATCCACCATATCCTCCTTTCCACCCTTAAAGGATTGGGTGTCTCGGGCTTTGCACTCTATCTGACAGGTCGGTCCTACCAGGTGATATGGAAAGGATCCATGTCTGACAACAATAGTTCCACAAGGCCCTGTCCTGGGCCCTCCCATACACTCGCATGGCTTCTCTTACCACTGCTATGCCGATGACATCCAGCTATTCTTGTTGTTCCCCCCAGCTGACACTGAGGAGGAGTCATACATTGCTCCTTGCCTGGCTGAAATCTCAAAGTGAATGTCAAGTGAGTCCCCTCACTGATACCTATCCATTGACGACACCATGGTGGCTTCTGTTGCAGCAGAGGATTTGTGTGCTCATCCAGGCACTTGTCATTTCCCACCTCGACAACTGCAACTCCCTTTCTTGCTGGACCCCCTGTGTCTGCCATCAAACCAATCAACCCAGGTTTTCCCACACCACTCTCTGTTTGCTTGCATTCAGTTCAAAACTCTGGTGCTGACCTACAGAGCAGGTAAAGTGGCTGCTTACAACCATTCAAACCATGGTCTAACCCTACACTACGGCCTGACCATTGCACTACTGTGCCTCTGGACGTTTAGCCGTCCCATCACTCAGAGGAACCTGTGGTCGCTCATTTCGGTCAAAGCTCTTCTCTGCTCGGGCTCCACAGTGGTGGAATTAGCTCCCCACTGAAGTCAGGATAGCTGAATCACTGTCCACCGTACACTGCAGATTCCATCTCAATAACCCTTGCAAGGACTTACTTATGTCTCATTTCTAAAAAAAAAAAAAAAAAAAAAAAAGACTAAACTCATCTGTAAGCCCTTGCACTACAACACTAAACATTTTTTTCGGCAATTTGCTTAAGTGATAAGTGATACACTCCTTTTCCCTTTATCTAGCCCTTGCTCCTATGTGGTTTGAATTAAGTTATTACAGGTTGTCTTGTGTCTGGCGAATTAATGTAATGTATGTAGCGGTGTACACTAAAGAAGACACTCAAAACAATAAAATATGGATTAAACTGAGTTTATGACTGAAACTAAAGTTTACTGTGATGGTTTCTCTAGCTTGAGGAAGTTTTAAGTCTTTTCAAATAGCATACACACCAGAAATACACTGTATGCTATATGCGTATGTGTTTTCTCCTGAAAGACAATTAACTGAGATCTCCAAATATGGTGGCTGTGTGCAGGAAGCATTATATTTAAAGGAAAAGGAGAAATGAGATGATGTCCGTTAACATAAAAAAATAACATATATATATTAATGGCATTGTTTAAGTTACAGAACCGAACAGAGCATATTCAGCAAGTGCTGACATGCTCTTAGGGTATATTTATCTGTTGCTCTAACTCAAGAAGGTAATATTCAGACTTTCTGTATGCAATATTTATTTTGTACATTACATCACATGCTAGGGTTTTATCAATTATGGGATACAATGTGTTCTTTACTTCAAGCATTCACTCAAAACAGGACAAACAAACATATCCATATAGACAAGCCTGTAGCAAGCATGTAATCAGTGTTAACAGCGGCAAAGCAGGACAAAGAATGGCCTTGAAGTAGCAGCACAGCAGATTCAAAGAAGTTACAAAACAATTTGGCCCAAAATGATCACATCGAAGATTTTTAAATGATACCCGAGCTGCATTCAATAACAACAGTTCCCAATAACAATTTAGAAGCTTTTTAAAACTGTTTCATAAATTAATTGTAAAAATTAAAAAAATAAATAAATAAAAAAGGGATTTTAGGGACATTATTTGTGATACATGCTGATGTTAATTTTTTTAATTTGTATTTAATGTGTTCACAACCTGTAGTTTTTGTTTGCACCAGAGGTGAGTGACAAATTACAGCACAATAACACATGAAAGTCTACCTTCACCTTTTCTCTCTTTATTTCTGTTCAGTTAAATTATTATTTAAAGGCACACGATGGAAGATCTTTACCTTAATATAACAGCTTCAAAGTCATTTCGATGGTAAACGAACTCTTAGTATAGCGAATCATCCCGATAGCAAATCTGGAGAGGGACGCCGCTGGCAGAACCCGCAATGCAAGTCTGAAAGGTGGCGTCCCGCCAAATCTCGCGAGAATCACAAATTGCTTTACGGCGCAACGTCACATACATCAGCGATATAAGAAGCAGCCTCAATGGAAGACACTAGCAGGCATTCACTCAGACGTTTCCTGGTCAGTAGACATCTTCAGAGTCTATCTTTGCCTGTTCGATGTCCGACGCTTCCATCCTACTGAAATGTACCGGTATACAGGGGGGAGGGGATCAGGCCGTGAGTGCAGCGACGCAGAGCCGTATATAGAGACGGCTCTGGCGAGTGGTATTTACGTCAGTTAACGTTGAATACAAGTACTCTGCAGCAACTCTAGGGGTAGCTGTTTGACAAAACTGGAAAACTGCATAGTATGCCTTTAATGCAGAGTGGAGCGTCATGGTACTCAACATCAAACTCAAACATACATTTAAAAGCAATAAACAGTAATAGTTAAGCAACTCCATTTTTTTTTTACTGTATCACAAAGCTGTGGTTTTAGTTAGCCGGGTTGTTTTAGTTGCTGGGGTTGTGAAGTCCATTAATTTATGTATGAAAAAGAAAGTTGGGATCTTGAATGCAACTCTGATGCTAAAGCAAGGCCCTCTTGCTGGGAGCGTCACAGTAAGACAGGGTATGTATGATAAATGACTACTTACATTGATCTCAGTGATGGCAATGTCAACCACGCTACCCACAACAATTAAGGCATCAAATGTGTTCCATGCATCAGCAAAATAGTTCTGCAAGCATAAGCAACAAAGACATACAGAAAAGAAGAAAGAGAGAGACAGCAGAACATAAAAGAAAAGGAAGAGGTAAAAAAAAAGAAGAGAATTATGAAAGATAGAAAGAGGAGAACATCAAAAAGTTGTGATTTGATATAAGAGAGTGAGGTTGAAAGTCAAATCCTTCCTGCCACTGAGTCTGTGAGAGTACCAACTTCTTTAATTTATAGAAATCGGTTTGTTTTTAATTTCTGAAGTTATTTTTTACTCTCACTGGTGCAGTGGCGGGCTAAAAGAAATGGCCACCATAGACTTAAAATTAAACAATTTCACAAGATCTAATCGGTATGGAGCAGTGGCTTGATGTAATAGAAATGTTTGTATTTGTTTAGTTGTAGACACAGGTAGTTGATTGAAATGTTTCGAGCCCATCAGCATGTATTTGGTCTATGGTGCTCATCAACCATTAGGTTCACAACAGATTCAACAGACTTTAGCTCAAGCCAACCTAAAAATATATCACAAAATTAAGACAGGAAGGAGGGGAAGGAGGAAAGATGTGAAGGAAGGAAAAAAAAGGAGAGAGGCTGTGGGAGAGCAGGAAGAGGTGAGGACAGAGTTTTACATACTGACAATCTTTCTACCTGGCTGAGTATGATGTCGACTACACTGCCAATCACCACCAGAGCATCGAAGACGTTCCAGGCGTCCCCGACATAGCCCTGAATGTGGCAGCATGCACAGCCAGCAGGAGGAGAGGGGAAGGCAGGAGAGGAGGGGGATGTAGGGAAGTATAAAAGGTAGAGAGGTTATGATGAGGAATAACGGAGGGTGATGATAAGGAAAAAATGGAAAAGGAGTCACAGCCAGTGGGCAAAGAGTCCATGAGGGGAAGTAAGAGGGACAAGAAGAGTGTTTGAGGGCTGGGTTAAAAGGAAAAGGGGAGTGCTCTCAGATACAGTAAAAGCTCAAAAACATGAACCCTTGGGATAAAATATAAAGGGATATTCTCTAACGAGAGAAACAAGATGATTTAAGGAACTAATGGTAATTTTGCATATATTTGCTTAAATATTGCAAAGGAGAAGAGAGGAGAGGAGAGGAAAAGAGAGGAGAGGAGAGGAGAGGAGAGGAAGGAGACTTACTCTGGGTTTGAAGGCGATGAGCTTAAGGATCATCTCCACAGTGAAAACCCCAGTGAAGACCATGTTGAGGATGTCCATGGCATAGTTAAACAGATGAGACTGACCATGGTGCTGGAAAAAGAAAGGCAGACAGACTTATTAGAAATAGGAGACAAACATTTATTAATAATACATGTACTCTATTTTAAGTGTATCTGTATTAGTAGTTGCCATACAGTACACTGTCCTCTCAAACTCAAGGTTTTACCCATTTTGCTTTTTGGAGCATATAAAGGCAATAAACCCACTCTTTAGGCTGCAATAAAATATTACACATTAAATTATGTCTACTACTACTATGAAGATTAGATCTTTTAAGTGAAAAACACAAAATTATTGGTTATATTTTTATGGTTGTTGAGGAAAACATGAAAGAAATAGTTTAAGTTAGATAATTATCTTTTACATTTCCAGACATATACATTATTATTGTCAATGTGAGGATGCTAGTCACTTGCCAGTGTATATCAATTTTGCCTGAGAACTAAATGAAGAGTACTTACCTGAATGGCCAGACACAGGGTGTTGAGGATGATTAGGACAAACATGATGTACTCAAAGCCAGTGGAGTTGACCACATACCAGAACTTGTACTGGTATGGGTTTTTGGGGATGTAGCGCCGCAGAGGGCGAGCTTTAAGAGCATATTCCACACACTGACGCTGCAGTAGTGGTGAGGTTATAGGTGGGAGAAAATCAAGAAACAGACAGACAAACAGACTCATGAACAAGTGTAACATAAAAGTGTAAAGACGCAGGAACTCTGCACCAAAAAGTAATAAGATACAGTAGATGTTTCATCAGCACAAAAGTTAAAACGATGGAAAGATGCATGCATTATTTAGCCAGATCCATTTGGATGGAATCCTTTTTCAGCACAAATATTCTTCTGTGGAACACTTGTTTAATAATTCAATATGAACTGTTTTTCCTACTAAACTTAAAATGTTCAATAAAAGCACCAATACACTGTAACATCATATACAAACACTACCTAACCTACCTGGTTCTTGTCCAGCTCGCAGTTCTTGTACTCCTTCTCCCCCTGTTCCTGAAAGGTGACGATAACAAAACCGACAAAGATGTTCATCATGAAGAAAGCGATGATGATGATGTAGATGATGAAGAAGATGGAGATCTCGATGCGGTAGTTGTAGATCGGACCCATGTTCTCTTTGTTAGAGTCGATTGCCTTGTACAGTAGACTGCAGGGACACAGAGAAAGTCAAGATAATTAAATTTTTATTTGAACAGTAATTCTCTGTAAGTTTTGTTTGTTTAAAAATGCATAGTATACTTTAAGTCTCAAAAAAACAATGCTCAAGTGCACATTTATACACACAAAATAGTCCAATTATAGACATAATAGACTCAGAGAGGGCTGGCTGTTTCTTGCTATTACTCTCCATAGATGGTCAAATATGAGTTCTGCCTCAGAGGTAAAGCAGTACTTACGTGGGCCATCCTTCGAAGGTAGAGACGGTAAAAAGAGCCATCATGGCCATGAGGACATTGTCAAAGTTGAAGTCACTGTTGTACCAGATCCTCTCCTTTACCATTGGCAGCGCTGCGTCCCCGTTGTTGTAGAGAATGTAGGTACCTCTGTTATTTAAAGAAAAACTATTAACCTCATATACGCGCAAGGACATACAAAGAGATACTGATGCAGGCAAATATCCAAAGCTGGAAACTAACAAAAAGCATCAAAAAACTTACTTGCAGTCCTCTGGGCTGGACTTTGCGTCATCGGTGCAGCGATAAAATTTCCCCTTTGTAAAGAAAAAAACAACGGAGAAAGTGGGAGGTGCTCTTCATTTATGTATTCATGTAATTAATGTATTGTTTTAAACTAGAAGAGTCTATTGATTTGGTTGTGACCCCATTACCCTCTATCTATCTTTCCCTTGTTCCATCTTTTCACTGTACCTTGAAGAGCTGCACTCCAATACAAGCAAACATGAATTGCAGCAGCGTGGTGACGATCATAATGTTGCCGATGGTCCTGATGGCTACAAACACACACTGGACCACGTGCTGCAATGGACACACAGTTATACACTGTTAGTGTACATATATAATACACAGTACAGTATCATAAGCAAAGGTGCATGGTATGCATAAATATACTTGGGAACACATTCTCACGATACACACTGCACCATGCTGTGTTATTAATATTCTGACCTTGAGTCCCTTGGCTCTGTTGATGGCCCTGAGTGGACGGAGGACTCTCAAAACACGAAGAATTTTCACCACTGAGATAGCAGAGGACCTACAGAAGACAGACAAACACGCTGGTGGATTCAGCTGTGCACTTTCAAGTAAATGTTGTCATAGATGCAGTCCTTTAAGCCCTGCCACAAGCAGAGCCAAGAGAAATGTTTTTACATTATGGCAAAAATACAACACAGTTGCTCAATGATGAATTTAAACTAAGACATAAAAGCATGAATGAACAATACATACTGAATGCCGAAGGAGACCAGAGACACACCAACGACCAGCAGGTCTAAAAGGTTGAAGTAGTTTCTACAGAACGCCCCTTTATGAAGGAACGCTCCAAACGCTGTCATCTGGACAGAGGAAACACAAAAGGATTAAAGACAAATCTACACATAACATATCCAGGGAGACAGCTTCATGTCAGGTTGAAATGGGATTTAAATGACTTTATTAATGAATGAATTACTAAAATAACATTTTGTTTGTACCAAAAAACTTTTGCTGAATTTTCCATTTTCTTTTTGTATATTGCCTTACATTGACATTGATATTGTATTTCAAACCTGACAAACAAATGCGTTCATGACAGCAATGCACAAAATAATTTGATTTGCAGTTTCCCAGCTGATGGTTCTGCATTGTATTGTTAATTATGTTGTGTAATAATATCACTTAGAGCAAGCTTGTAAACATACTTTCTAATATGTTGGTTTCAATATTCTAGGTAATATTGAGAAGGTAAGCCTGGATTCACACTCAAAAGCAACTTACAAGGACTAAAGAAATTGTGTCACACACACGCACGCACACACACACACACACAAATAGAAAGATAGAAATAAACAATGCAAAATGTTCAGACAAGACATAGGGCACATTATCCAAAAGCCACTACACTAATTTCCAGTGTAGATTAGGCCGGGGAATGTACTATAAACACTTTCCAAAACAGAGCCTTTAATTTTCTCATGATCGAATTTTAGGCTAAGCCTTAATACATGAGATTTACCTGGTGCAGGCATGCAGCGAGCAAAGGGGTAAGGTAGAGGATTTTGTTTTTACGGAAAAAATAATACAACTGTTCCTGATTTTTGTGGAGCACATTCTTTGGGCGTGCATTTGCTAAAATAGACATAATCAACAAAATTAAGGAAGGGGGCACATCTGTGTGTTCAGTATGCAATCAGGCAGTGGGATATAAAGCTTGATGTGAGTTCAAGTTCAAGTTCATCTCTCCACAGTCCAGAACATTTCAAATTTGACAAATATCCTTCTAATTAAAAATCAAAAAATGTTTTGTTGTTCAAAATGTGGGAATCTGTTAGTCAGTGGTGTTGACAAAGATTCAAAGTTTAAAAAAATGATAATAGTTGGTGAAAGGTTTAAAAATGCCACCAGAGTCATAGTGCCAATCAAGTATATTGTTTAATCTTAGTAAAGTTAAAAATAAAAAGAATTTAAGATTTGGGAACAGCCCAACAAGTATTTGTACTCTGGAGCCACTGGTCCATAAACTGGTCGAGGATGAAGAGGGGAGGTGGGCCAGGATGGAAAAGTGACGGACAGACAAAAAAGTATCTGATGAAAACGCATGATCTCCACGTTGACGGGTTGGCGCCATGACAACAAGACAAGCAGGCGGCCATTTTGACCAAAAAATATAGAGACAAAAAATGAGGGGAAGGAGGACGTGTGCAGCAAGCTTGGAGGTGGTGGGTTGTTGCAGAGGCAGCGCAACAGTTTTTATTGTTTACCTTAATAAGGATCTCAAATGTAAACATACTAGTGAAGACATAGTCTGCATAGCCTAGGATCTGAGGAGGCAATCAGAGTGACATAAGCACGCAGGGTTACTGAAGCTCTACCCAGCACAGCACAACACAGCACAAAGGTCATTTACCTTCAACAGGATCTCAACAGTAAAGATTGCGGTGAAAGCATAGTCAAAATAACCAAGTATCTGCAAGAGGCAATGCACAAGTTCAAGTCATTCCAGGATAACAGCACAGTAAGATACAGTATATAGATACAATATAATTAAAGCTATCTTTAATGTAAAAATAGTGTTATCAGTGTAACAACAGTGTTCATAGCAGCGGCAGGTCTTCTGATTAAACATTGTGGTTAATTCAAATTGAAAAATGAAATAAAACTTCTCTAAACTCCTTAACATCAGTGACATCAGTCTTCAATTAGTGCCATAGTGGTATTGTCAGTATTTTGATATCATATTAAATCATTCCTAAGTAAAAAACATAATAAAGTACAATATAATAAGTCCTATAATATGGATGTCAATGTGGAAAAAAGGGGTTTGATAGCTGCTGTGTGGCAAACAATGTTTTGTGGCTTTACAGAAAAACATTTAACCAAAACAATTACTGTTGGTTCTGCATTTTAATAAATATACCTGACTTCTTAACCTAGCATCAAAATTCTGCACATGTACTTTGTGTTTTTATGTGGCTGACGAGGTGGTAAAACTGTGTTATCTGATTGTCATTTGCCAAATCATGCTCTCCATGGGCCTTTTTCACAGCAGACATTTGGGTGTAATTAATTATATCAATGATGGTTCGGTTCTATTCCAGTGTACCGTAAGTCATGACAGGAATGTATTATTTAATATTGATTATTTACAGCTGTGCTATTGGATAAAATCTATTCTGTGATAAAGGTGGATTGTCAGAAACAGCGTGACAAATAAACCCCCCAAACAGGATCAGTTAAGAACGTGGGGTAGTGTTGTAGGGCAGTTCAAGACTACAGTCCCGGTGGTGGTTTACGTACGATATTGCGAGCAGAGAAGTTGCGTATTGGATCCTCAGCAGCCAGAGAGACAGAGCTGAGCATGATGAAGACCAGGATGAGGTTTGTGAAGATCTGATGGTTGATGAGCTTATGGCAGAATACACGAAACCTACAACAATAAAACAAAAAAGGGGGAATGGAGAGAGAAAGAGGCAGAGAATGTACAGTGAGTGTAACAGCAAGTCAGATTTTCTACTATTACTGATTTTAGACCTGTTTTTGTGATTTCTTATTCTGACTCACGGGTTAGTGCTGCTGAAGATAAAGAAGGCGCTGCCCGTCGGGATGGGTGGGATCTTCTCTTTGATGCTCAGTTCAGACAGCCTCTGAGGACGGGGTCCTGACGGGACTTCTGGGAGGTCATCATTATTGTCATCATCATTATCACACACTAGGAAACACAACCGAGTTATTTTAATCTTTTTTTAATACTTAACATCTTCACAAATGTAATGTGTTAATATAAGTTGTGTTTTGTCTTTCTTGTTTGGATCCACATTTCAACACAGGTTAGGTGATTTCTGTTGATTTATTGTTCAATAAAGTTGTTCTCAGTAGAACAGATGCCACAAGAAAATAGTACTAGAGACCTGTATCTCCTCCTCACTTAAGACAAAGTCACTTTTACCTGGAGAGTTGATAGCAGGATACAAGTCTTTGTCATCCTCCAGCAAGACCTCTGCTGGCACCTACACACAGTGTAGCATTAGAAAAATGTGCAAATATTGAGATGAAAACTACATTAAATAATGCACTTTGAGGCAGGTGGTTGCAATGAATTATATTCTGTTAATAATACAAATTGCATGATTTATGAAGAGAGCTATTCTCTATCTTTTACCTTGGTTTCTCCATCCTTGTTTTCCATTATTTCAACTTTCTTCTTATCTGTGCTTGCATCCCTGTTAGGGAGGTGAGAAACCAACAGGGAGTAACTAATAAGGCAGAAGGCTATTTCTTTCTGCCAACAGAAAGTGCTTGTGACAAATGTCTACAAAAACTATTAAACAATTAAAATGTGTAATAATGGAGGGGTTCTAAGCCGTACTTGGCACTATTCTTCCTCTTCTTGGCCTCTTCCTCCTCTTTCTGTGCTGTGTTGAGGCTCTCAGCGTCTGCGAGGTTGTCAACAGCAATGGCCAAGAAGACGTTTAGTAGGATGTCTGGTCATGTGACTTAAGGAAAAAACCCTTGCCAACAAGTAAAACCCACCCGGGCTGCTCAATATTAGAACACAACGTTTTCACACATGCAAGAAATGTGTAAATGTGGATGTTTCTTTGTTGTATGTATGTGTGTGAGCATGTGTGTGAGCATGTGTGTGTGTGTGTGTGTGTGTGTGTGTGTGTGTGTGTGTGTGTGTGTGTGTGTGTGTGTGTGTGTGTGTTTGTGGTCAGTAGGATACAGTTTCCACAGATGAAGAGGATGATGAAGTAAATGCAGACCACCATTCCAGAGGAGGATGGACCGCCATACGCCATGATGCCATCATACATCACCGTATTCCAGTCTTCTCCTGTCAAGATCTAGCAAACACAATATAGCATGGAAGCCGTGTCAATCATTTATTCTGTGACTAATTATACGTATCAACATTGTACTAATTAGTGGTTAAAAACACGTATGGCGCTGTGTGTTCACATTGTGCCGCTCTACACCAACAGTAATATGAATTCCTGAAGAAGCGAATTGTTGAGACCAGTGATGTGACAAAAGTGTATTTATTAATCACCACCCCCTCCGATTTATATTCCACTCCACTCAGCCCTTATGCACTTTTAAGCCTCCTTGTTATTGCACACGCTGTGATGTTATAATTGCAAATCGTATCTGAACAAAGTTAATAAAACCAAACACTTACCTGGAACACAGTGAGCAGGGCCTGGGGGAAGTTATCGAACGTGCTCCTTTTAGTCACAGTCTCGTCAAAGTTGAACTTGCCCCCAAAAAGCTGCATGCCAAGCAGGGAGAAAATAATAATGAAGAGAAAGAGCAGCAGCAACAGGGAGGCGATGGACTTCATGGAGTTGAGCAGAGAGGCCACCAGGTTACTAAGAGATGCCCAATGACTGCAGAGGAAAAAATATATACATCAAATTACCAGAAGGACAGACACACACACTTACACACGTTCGTGAAGGTAATTAGAGGCAAATACGGAAATTCTAATATTTGTTAGACAAGGTAGGACCACTATCTTCTGCATCAGCCATTATTTTTGTTCGAAACATTTAAGTCATCTCTATCGCATCCAGAAAACAAACAGCCTCTCTGTTGCTCACCGTGTGACCTTGAAGATCCTAAGGAGTCGTACGCAACGGAAAACAGAGATGCCCAGGGGAGACATGATGGCCAGCTCCACCAGGATGGTCTCTACGATGCCTCCACACACCACAAAACAGTCAAAGCGGTTAAACAGGGACACAAAGTAGGCCTGCAGCCCCAAACTGTACATCTTCACCAGCATCTCCAAGGTGAACATCGCCAGGAGAACTTTGTTGGCTACATCTGGAGAAGAGAGAAGAGGAGAGGTATTAACTTCAGCTGAACAAAGTCAAAAAACTGACCTGAATACATGTTTTACAACCAAACAGAACAGAATAGAGCATAATACATACCCTGTACTTCAGTCAGCCAGTCTGGCTGGTTGTAGTGCTCAGAGGCGATGGTGAGAGTGTTGAGGAACACCAAGATGATGACCAGCCAATAAAATGTCACCGATTTCACGGCTGCACGACACTTCCTGCGACAGAAACGGTTCCACCGTCTCCACTGTCGACTGACAGAAAAATCCACTTTGAGATCAATGCGCAGAATATGTACGCCATATTCAGAAGAATTTAGTTCATTAGACTTAATAAACCATGATTTTATTTCAGATAGTAACATTTTTTATTGAGTTTAACACATTTCAAACTCTTCCGACTTTGTACTTAATGTATATGGATTTGTTATAACATTTTATTTCTCACATATACATTTACACATGTGGTGACACAAGATGAACACACAATATCAATATAAGTAAACTGGACAAAAATGTAAAGGATTGGGGGGAAATTTAGGTAAGTAAACAGGGAAAAAACACAATGATGAAACTGGAGTGAGATCAGGATAAAGAATAAAACAAGACAGACATTGGATCAACCGCAAAAAATTAGGTAAGAATGAGTCATGCAAGATGAGTTGAATCAAATAAATGAATGCAGAAGGCATTTGCCATGCAGTGTCATACAGTACCAAGGTACTAACCTGCACTTTGACTTAGTAATTTTTTGACTGGGGAGAACAAAAGACGAAGCAATTTTAAATAAAGGGCAACAACGTTTGAGTCACATTTTTAATGTGTAAAACAGCCATTGTGTCCTTGATGGGGTCAATAATAACAGATCAACCTCTGTTCATTAGCTTATCATAATAATAATATGTCACACTCACCACAGCGGTCCACAGCAGGGTGATTTGTCCTCCACTCCAGTGTGATTCTCTGTGTTCACCGACTCTGTCTCACTAGTGGGCATGCTCGCTGTGGTGTCACACACACACATACACACACAGAAAAAGTAACATGAGATTATAAGGTGCCAAGTTAACAAAGAGGTTTAGGACAAAAAAATTGTGTCCTGATGGAAATAGATTATAATAGATTTTCCTTTTGACACCCATGCATTTTTGGTTTGGCTTGGTTCCAGCCTGACGAAATGCGTTTTAAGTTGAACGCTTTTAAATACAGAAAGAAAAACATATTGAATAGAACGTCAGAAACTATTTTCTAATCTGCTGCACAGAGGATCACACATTAGACTATTAAAGGATGTGTAATGTAAGCCATCACTATACAAAAAAACTCAACTTTCTTGTGTCATATAGCTTATAGGCCAAGCCAAACCACTGGAAAACAAACACAAAAAAATGTAGGTGTAAATAGAAAATGCTGGGGTGACTTGACATTAATGAAAAGGAAATTCTGCCAGGTTTGTCTTTAAATTTTTGAATATTTTTGAGACTGACGGTATCAACTTTGGAGTTGCACTGTGTGAAAACCAACTGTCCTGTTTTGTGAACACTGCAAAATGATGAATTTGAAGGTCTCTGCATAGATCAAGTCACAGTGAGTACATGCTCCCAGACCTGAGTCAAACTGGACCTTGTAAATAATTCTTTCTTCATTTTTTCAAACCATTTGTCAATTGGAAACACCATCAGAATATAAATATTGTTACTCAGATGAAAGGGTTTACTTGTGTTGAATGCTGAATCTTTTCAGTACTGATTGGTCCTACAATTAACTATTTGGTCCAGGTCTACATGCTGCAACAAGTATTAGTTACATTGTCACAGGATTACAACATACAGTATATTGAAAATCATATATACTGTCCATGCATAAAATATTGTCTTTATAGGTGACAAATGAAAGGAATTCAAAATGATTGTGATTGGATGAGGGATCTGAACACAAATACTGTGAAAATTCTCATTTGCAGACATGAGAAAAATAAATGTATTTCCATACATTTACTATATATTATATGGTCAGAATGTAATATTTAAACTGGTACTAATATGAACATGAGCTGAATACATTTTAAAGAGTTTCATTTCCTGGTCAAAATTTTAAGTCAAGGATTTCAAGCATGTCTTGTGGCAAATAATTGGCTGGAAACATCTAAATTCACACAGATTTTTCACATTGAAATGTATTACTCATTTAAAGTTTGAGACTAGGCCTACCATTTATGAATAGCAATTTAGTGACAAAAACATATTAATACTGTGTCTGTAAACACTTTAAAGGTGTTTGTGTACATATGCTTCTGTGTCATCCGCTTAAGATGAAATCATTTTCGAGGTGAATGGCAATCTTTGGTGTATGCGTGTTTTATTCGTAACAATAGTGCTACTGTTCCTTAAATTGAAAGCCACATTTCCCATAAATTTAGTTGCTTCCTGAAAAGATGTTGCTGCTCGCTACACGTCCCCCCATCAGCCTTTCATCTGTTCTACAGTACAAAGTGATGATTCGTTTCACTGGCAATTAGGATATTCTGGTAGGGAACAGTGTGATGCAAAGGATTTCAGAGATAATGGATGATAACGTGTTTTATGTTTCATAAAATTAATTTGCTTATGATACGGAAACAAACAACAGAGGGCATGCAAACACAAAAGCAAAAACAAAAGCGTAAGCAAAGCACATGCAGGCGGAGGCAACCTCCACGACAAAGGTGAACTGGGCAAAAAAACACACACTCCCAGACACTCACGCACACACATACATTTACCCTGTGTCTCTGTGGACTGAGTGAACCAGCCAAACTTTCCTTTCTTCTTCTCAGTGAGGTCAGCCAGCGTGACCCCTTGGTGTTACCAACATGCAGTTCACACAGCCAGACAGCAGAGGAAGCAGTGAGTCAGTACACAGCAGAACGAGAGAGAGAGAGAAAGAGAGAGAAAGAGAGAGAGAGAGAGAGAGAGAGAGAGAGAGAGAGAGAGGAACGTAGGGCAAGAGACAGCTGCAATACAAACTACAGTACAGGCACAGCTACCATGTCCAGAAAAGCTACAAAACATTTGTACAGGACATACATCAATATCATCTTGGTATAACAGACTGACTGCATGGATCCGAGCCTGGACTATGTTGTCTTGCTACAGTAAAATTTTCTAGCATAAATGGGATTGGCACGTAACAGGAGAGAGAAAGGTAAAATATGCCATATGACGACACAGTAAAGAAGCTCGCTTTGTGCTGACAATAAATGCTGAATAAAAGATGTTTTAAAAAGATATTTGCTAAATGAAGCATAATAGCAGTAGTAGGCAATAGTCATAGATAATATATATATTAGCAGATATATGTGTATTAGCTTATCACAAATATGCTGCTATTGGTATTAATGTCAGCTGATAAATAAGAAGAAATTGCAGTACAGACATGCCAATGATATGTTTGAGGTAGTTTTGAAACAGCGTCGTCTTTGGTTGTCTACCGGAGATCACTGACTATAAAATGTCTTGCTGTATGTGTATATCTTGGTCTCAATTCCAGCAAAGTGACTATACTCTCTATCCAAAATGCAATATTGGTTTGGGCTTCATTTTAGATCTATGATTTCTGGACAGAGTAACTATTAGTACCACATTAGACTGGGAAGGATTAGCACTAAACAAGACTTCAGTAAGAGAACACAAGATAAAAGGCAGAGAAGAGAACAGCTGTTGGTGACAAGAGAGGAAGATGTGAAGAAACAAAAGGAAGAAAAAAGAGACAGAGGGAAAAAACTAATGTTAGCGGCAGTCTATAGACAGTTTTTTACAAGGCACACAGACACTGCGGGAATCAAGGAGAGAAAGTTAGTGTGTTGTCTACAACAACAACAGCAGAGGTAAAAGCAGGGCAGTTACTAGAGGATAAAAAACTGACAGGTACAAAGACCGACTGCACTGTGAATGGTTTTAAGGCACTGCAGCAGTATTAGGAAGAGAGGCGAGGCTGCAAGCAACAGCACCACAGGCCAAAACAGACTTATTCACACGACTTTTACCATAAGTAAGGCTCACGACACACACATTCTTCCAAAGGAGCGGATGGATTTCAAATGATTTACACCCATATTTCATGTCCCCACACATTCAGATTGATTATGGTCAGGAGGGCACTGTCATTAATTACACAACCAGGCTCCAGTCCAGGTATTCAGTTATAGGGGGAAACAATCATCATATATATCCTGCAAAATCTATTTCATCATTTGAAATTAATTATTAAAATTGTGTTTGTTTTTGCTGCTATGGACTTCGATGCAGGAGAACCAGAGATTCTGCTGTTTTTATGTCTTGCATTCTTCTACCTCCATTATCCATAATGCAACTTGACTGCCCACAATTGGGTCAGAGAGTCAGGGGTGTTATGCTAGTAGTGGCTAATACAGCCTAGAGCCTCAAGCAGAGATGAGAAGCGGGCCACAGACGTCTGATAAGCTCTCTTTTGTCCAACTCCAAACCCACACAGATGTTTTTGTTTTCAGCGTTGTAACGCTAAACTGACGTTGCCTCAAGTGACATAATTTAAGGGACATTTATCAGACTTAACACAGCTCCCACAAACAGCTTTATACAGCTTTTTTCACATTCGTAGTAGAACTCCCAAAGACCTGTGAACTGATGGTATTGCTTATGAGAGCAATCTTAGATATGAAAAGTAACTGTTCACAATTGCATTTACAGTCAAGCATTTTTATATGATGCAACCACAAATTCAATGCAATGTTTCAAACCATTCGTCTATAAATCTATATCTGCTTATCTTTTGGACTGCTAGGCATTCAGTCACAGGGCTACCAGATAGACAAACGCATTCACCCTCACATTCACATTCACAGGAAATTCACCTGGCTTCACCTCATCTTTGGACTGCAAGAGGATAGAAACCCAAGCAGACATGGGTCTGGGGGTACGTGCATACCTCATGCACCCTGATCTGACACATGCAGACCTCATTGGGAGGTGACAGTGCTTATCACCACACAGCCACACAGCACCACCCTATTTTCATCTTTGATAACGACTGCTGAAGAATGACAGGAACATGGGAGGAGCGAGAGGGGGGATGACACGCAGCAAAGGGTCATAGGTCAGAGTCGAGCCCATTGGCCTTGGTACATTGGGTGTCAGCTCTAGGTGAGCTATCAGGACGCTCCAGCGCCATCCTATTTTCAAACCAAATGGAAGAAAGAAACTAAAGAGGGTAAAGAGAACTTAAAGAAAATAGCAACAACAACAACCACAGGACCCTCTTCCCTGTTTAACATTTGGCATTGGTTTGCTCTGCTCTGATACAATACAAATCTCTGTCAATGTAAACAAATCATATCATCATATATCCTGTATCATATCAAGTGGGAAATCTAAAGTATGGCACATAAATTCAGATTGTATGTGATGTGATGTGGTCCATACCGAAGCTACTGACCCACAATTCCCTTATTGTTTTAAGCTAGCATGTATGTATGTATGTATGATTACATTAAATGTAAGGATTTACATTTAAAATGTGCCAAGTCAAGTATTCAGAAGTAGAGCCACAGGAGGAGAGTCTTTCAGCGGTATATAGCCCAGTATGGCCATGATATGAATGAGACCAAAGCAAATAAAAGCTTATGACACATAAAAAGATAAAGCCAGATAAATCCATGCTGTCTGCCTGTGAGTAAATGTTAATTACACAAGCTCTCAGATGAAACCCAGACTGTTGAATCAGTTTCTTTAGTAGCTCAGTCAGCTAGAGTGACAGATCTTATCCAATATATATGTTAAGTCAGGGAACTCTATTTATAAATAGCATGGGAAATGACTGTGCAGTCAGTCAGTCTCTCTTTCACACCTTTGGTTCATTGGTTTATTTTCTCTAAGTTACTTTCTTTTTTTTTTTATTCAGGCAGCCCCTGTGGACTAAAGCTCTAATTACAAGGAGAATCTGACCAAATCTGACCTGGTGGCAGGCATTGTTATATAGTTACTATATAACAATAAGTTAGTTCACACTGAACTAACAAACCAGAATCAAATATATCTGTGAGAGAAAGGGAATTCTTAACCTGGGGTATGCAAACTGAAAATCTTGATATGCAAATAATTATTCCCATCACCACTTTGCATGAAGTCAGTGTGGGTGAGGTAAGAGATTATTGTGAAAGTAAGATTTCAACAGCTGCAAATTTAATCACAGATTAAAAGAGAGAAACAGAGAGTATAAAGTGTTAGAAAATGTTCTTCTGAGCATCACGGATGCATCAGGAAAGTGCTTTATAAGTTATTAATTTATTATATTATCATTAAGTGATTTCCTTGTAATTCAAGTACATTAAGCATTATGAGAACTTCAGTTACAAACTAGCCTACTTTACTGTACTTTTCTATCAATTGTTGTTCAGAGAATCTCTATACACAATGATGACATTTTAGTTATTTTATGTTTATGAATCGTGTAATCTCATGAAATACATGTGAAGTGATTTTTGTGAAGTGAGTATTTTTAACCAGAATCTAATCAGTATGTATGTCTGTCACTACACTTCCACTCATGTGGAACGTAAGTACCATTTTGTTTATGATCCAAAGAACGTGACTTAAGCATAGAAATACTGCAGAGAAAAATACACAGACCTGGAAGATCGTGAACAACATGGCAAATTTAAGCAATATTGTATTAGAGTCCACTCAGAAAACAGCTATGTAAATTCTACTTTTCTCCATCATTTTGTCTATCTTTCATGTTTTGACAATAATGTAAGAGAGAGGTGACAGGAAACGTTAGTCTTACTCCTCCATTATGTGTACTGCACTGCTGCACTCTTCTGGACAGACACTGACTGCACTCATTTGATATTTGCAAAACACAAGATTTCAAAAACCAACACCAACATATAGCAGTGTGGGAATTATGAAATTACAGAAATACTAATACAAGCAAGTACTGTTCCAACAATAAACCTCCTCCAGATCAGAATAAGCAAAACATTGTCTTTCCTATGAACGCACACACACACCAAACATCCACATTTACCCCTGTGTTGTCATGGTGACCAATACTCACAAGGCCACGCCACAGAAAAGACCAAAAATCACAGCACTGCTATCGCCCACTTTCTTCGTGCTAGTTCTGAAGTCGTTACCATGGCTAAAGTTTTCACTCGCTTACTTCACAGCACTGTTGCGCCACACTAAGAAAATTTTGCAAATCGCATAGCACCAATCCAGGAAAAAAACATAATGGAGGGGCAGTATTTATTTCTCTTTTTACTTCTCTGTGAACAGCTTATATTGTTTTTCACAGAAAAAGAATAACAACTGCCCCACCCTGCAGAGAGTTTACTGATCAATTCATTGGTAATAATCATGAGCAGTACTACAATGATATTATTTGTATGCGTAACATTTCCAACTATATGGGTATATATCTATACTACTACAACATATTGTGACTCACACAAAAGAGATAAGGAGGTAAGGATAATTCTATCCTTGACATATGTAACAGTAATGTAAAAATATAAAGGCACTGTAAAACACCAAAGAAAGAAGAGAGAACGTGTCTTAGGAGGAGTACGGTAATATTAACCCATTACATGCTTCATTTAGTAACAATCATTTTGTACGGATTTTTCAGAAGATGAATGTTTAGTATGTAACCTGAAGGATTCACTCTTGTAGAAATGGTCTGTTGTACCAAACTGTAGATGATGCCTGGAAAAAGATATATTTTACTGAATGTTGAATGTAATGTAGAGTGACATTTGCATTTACAGTTGGCAGCATGTGAGACTGTCCCTTTGTACGGAATATAAGATTCAACTGTCGTTTGTCAGCAGGTAATGTCTAACTGTCAGTGTGTTTGTATCTGGTCACTCGTCCCAGGCTTGAAAGAGTCGGTCAACATCTAATTTTTGGAAAAAGTCATATATTATTCTTATTATGTGTCAGTGTTTTTTATTAACAGTCACACAGATGTCGGTTTGTTCCAGATAAACATTTCCTTTATGATACATTTAAGGCAAAGTATCAGTGAGCTTGTCCGAGTGGAATAGATGAGTAACGGTCTGCCTATCAATGGGGCAAAGAGATGTGCAATATTATTTAAAAACAAAATAACTTAAGGCTTGGTAACACAGATCTGTTTGAATTCTTCGTTTTCCTGCTTTTGACAAGGATAGTAGTGACAAAATGAATTAAATCCAGGTAACTCACGGTTACGCTTGCCCTCCTCGTCTCCCTCCTCCTCGTTCTCGGGGTCGATGTCCTCGGCCTGGGTGATCCAGTCCAGATAGCCCTTCAGGTCTTCCTCTAACTGCTGCTTCTCACGTAGCTTCTGGAAATCTCCCCGAGCTTTGGCCTTCTCTCGTTCTTTGGAAAACTCTCTGGACAGGGCAGAGCATAATTAAACCTGAGTCCGAAAATACTGTACAGGATCAGAACAGACGTGTGCCTGACAAGCACCAAAACAATCGATCCATCCATTTTCTAAACCTGTTTATTCTGTTCAAGGTCACAGCACTGACAACCATATGGTTGCTGATATTTAAAATGTACTGAACCATTAATAACTGTTAAATATTCTTAGTGTTTCTCACAAATTGGCAAAGTTTAGCAAGAAAAGAAATACAAAATAAAACAAGCAAACATACATGCTAACTCAAAACCTACCCACTCAACACACCCAACACCAAGTTGAGAACAAAGAAGGATCCAAAGATGACCAGACTGACAAAGTAGACCCACGGCAGCTCAAAGCCCATTGCATCATTCATCTAAACAGAAACACAAGCAGACAAGGAGAGAAGAGAATGACACATATTAGACCTGGTTTATTCATATGGTATGTGTCACAATTGTGCACAAATTCTCTTCTTTTTATATTCATATATAATATATAATACATATATTGATATGTGTCACATATGCATACAATTCTTTCCCATTTCAAAACATGAAACATAAAAGGCCAGAAAAGGAAACGAGAAGAAAAGAAGGTCTTAACATTCTCATACGTTTACTCTGCAGACTTTTACAAAGATCAGTGTAATTGAGTCTGCCATATAATCCAACTACATCTTTGGTCTGACAGCTGTTTTTTGTGTGGAGCCATTTAAGTATTAATGACTAATAGACTGGGATGATGGTGGGTGCCTGCAGTTTTTCACAGCTTCTGCCAGTAAAAACCACCTCGACTCACTTCCACCTTTATACATTTATTACACACATATTATCATCTATGAACTGAATCAATGGAAGAAAAACTGAATGCTCCGGGTATTCACAGTTTACTTCAGGGACAGAAAAGAGTAAAAGAAAGAGTAAGTAAGTAAGAGTCCAAGCACATTTTGCTTACTAGTCCAGTACTGGATTTTAAATAAAACTGAATCAGCTGGATGCAGTTCAAAATCCATAATGTCCTTCAGTCGAAATAAATCTTCAAGAGTGAGCTACAACAAAAACTGGAGCAGGAACTGTGACCACTAGAGGGCACCATGTGAGAGACAACGGGGTTTGTAATAAGTGGAGGGGGTATTAGAGGATGAGATATCTATTAGTAATGTGGCTTTGGCAAATGACCACACTACAGAGCCAAAGTGCGTTTTAATAGAGCTGTTTGGCAAAGAGACACTAAGAGTTGAGTCTATTTATAACCACACAACTGAGTTTTTCACAGTTCAAATAATCTCTACACACTTCGCCCTGTGTACATGCATGTAATTCTATTTAAACACACATATTCCCTCCAAAAACCCCACTCCAGCTGGCATGGCAGAGACCCCTCACTCCAGCCACAGTGCTGCCACTGACCCAGCAGCAATAGTTAATTGATTTCTGTAAGAAAGGTCAGAAGTCATATTTAATCCAGCTGTCTGTCCTTCTATCTTCTATTTTCATTTAGGTTTGTCAGGTCTCCTTCGCCATTCAACAGCAGTATTAGCATGGGATTGCCATGGTAACACATACATGCATAAGAGAAATAAGAGTGTGTGAGGGAGAGAGGACGGCAGAGAAAGAGAAGGAGGAAGGGAGGTTCATTATTTCATAGATGAGGGTCTCCGTCAATACAAGGATGTGGGTGGATTTTGATGAAAACTCATTCTCAGTTCAGCTTCAATGCTGAGTGTTTTGGATAATTAAAAGCTGTTGGTGATTTTTGCTAATGAGAAGCTGAGAGTTTTTAAGTGAGTGTGTGTTTTTTTTTTGTTTCTTGTTTTAAAAGACTTGTCATCAACTAAAAGAACGGTGATGGTTCAGGTTTAGACTCAGGCTGTAGCTCTCAATGAGGACTTCTTGGTAATAAAAAAAAATCACGTAGCTCAAATTTGTAGGAGAGACAGTAATATAATGTCATTTGAGATTTAAATATTATTCTTGTCAATAAAACCTTCTAAATTATCTTGAGACATAATTATTGTGATCATGTCCTATATAACACTTTTGTCATCTTATAAATTGTATCCATGTTACTTCTTCCAAATATACTAATACAATGGTAATGACTAAAGTAAAACACTTGAACTGTTGCTGAAAGGTGCTATACAAATAAACTTGCCTTGTCTTACCTATATAATGCACATTACCTTGTGTCACATTAATGTCATTAATTTCAAGATAAGACTCAATAAATTGGAATACTACAATCCTCTAAAATTAATATTTTTTAGATAAAATATGATGTCTTTGTGAGGAAACACTTAAATGCACTTTCCAGCAAATAAGGCAATAAGTAGAACACCTTGGTTTCATCTGTAATCTAACAAAATCCCCAAGATGACAGGCATCATTTCACAGTTTTGTTGAGAATTCCCAGAATCAGCAGAGTTTTAAAGTAACACAATATTTTACCTATTAATGGTTCTTTCAGAATCAAACATCTCAAAAGTGAGACCCATGGATTAATAAGCCAATAAATTACCCAATAAAGAACGTCAGTCCAGCCCTCCATGGTGATGCACTGGAACACAGTGAGCATGGCAAACAAAAAATTGTCAAAGTTGGTGATGCCGTTGTTGGGGCCTTGCCAGCCCTCTCTGCAAACTGTACCATTGAACAGGCAGTGACGGCCATGCCCCGACACTGCACACGGTGTGGGTTCTTCTTCTCCCAGGGCACCTGTGGGCACAGAGTGAGACAGATGAATCTACTAATCTACGGTATGTCTACTGGTGTTTGATAACGGCTAATAATAAACTGAATTAAACTTTTTAATATCCCCATCGTGGTTTAAAACACTTCATAAGCCCACCATATTAAGTATGATGTTAAGATGGCTTGATTATATGATAGAGAGGAGTGTAGTCCACATGGAAACACTAATATGACATAAAAACAACAGCACACTGTTTTTGGACGTACAGTTACAAAATAAAAACCTTCCACAATTCCTAACATTTTGGTATTGGTTGTCCATCTGTTTTGGAATCTTTCTTATAGTATCTCTATGATATACAAGGATTTACATGGATTAGCTATTAACATCCGACCCCCTACTGTCTTCAAAGACTCCAGCAGTCTATTGGCTGTTTAACGCTGAGTGTGCTTCTGCAGCCTCTGCTTTGTAACAACCTTCCCTTTAAAAGGACACCTTTCTCTTTTTTAAATCTCTCTATTAACTAAATTTATTTTACTGGTTAACCCATGCCTTGACTTAGCCTCCAATTGCACTAATATTTTATTATTTTGTGTATTATTTCATCATAATTTGTCCTAATAATCATTATCATTGTTACAATTACTCTATATAAATTTTTTAAGCTATATCACCCATATGCATAGTAGATGAGCCCATAATATGTTGAACTTCCACTTTTAAAATATCCACAACACATGCGCACGTGCACAAAACCACACATCTACCCTTGTTTTTCTGTAGATATACCCCCCTCCACCCGTGCACACATAAAAACCACAACCTAAGTGCCTTTCTCAGGGCCGACAGAACAGACACGAGTGAGGGGGGGATTAAAGGGAGCTTCCATCTCGCTCTGTCATGACCTCTCGACTTAAGTCTACAATGCTTCTCCTGACGTCCAAGCCAACAGATCAAAGCAAGAAAGAGAGGAAAAGATTAGGTGAAAGGTGTGTATGAGAGAGAGAGAAATTGTCATATTCCTGTATAGCCCACTACTTCTTGTGACTTAAGCTGGCTCCTGTCTGGCAGCCATTTTAGAATATAACTGTGGTTTTATGCGTGTGTGTGTTCGTATATATGTACATACTTGATATTTATGATTGACAACCATCATCTATTTATCCTTAGTTCTTAAATAATTCTGCAACGTTGGAAGCAATGCTAGAGTAAAGGTCAAGCCTGTTTACATAATAGCCAGATATTAGTCATTTAATCACTGGATTTAATCCACCATCTGTTGTTCTGTCCTGTTTTCAACAGCTTGTTACCATTCACATACAAGGTACATCTGTCCATTCATTCTCAGGGATGAAATCCTGCATCTATCTTACAATGAGATGTATATGCCTGTTCATAAACTGCATAAACATAAACACTGCAATTTCCCAGCTTGGGATAAATAAAGTATATCTATCTATCTATCTATCTATCTATCTATCTATCTATCTATCTATCTATCTATCTATCTATCTATCTATCTATCTATCTATCTATCTATCCATCTATACTGTAGACTGGATGTGGGACTCAACTACAAAGGGTTTAAAGGGTAAAAATCACCCTTAGAATAAATTTCATGAAATTCTCCAGGCAAGCATCATGGCTGAAACTGCAGGACAAAAAATCTGCCTTGATAGAATGACACTAAAATCAAATGAAACCAAATTAAAACCCTCTGCACCACCATACCTGTTTGTATCACGTAGCACGTGGCATGCATTTTGCCAATGAAGAGCTCCAGGCCAATGATGGCGTAGATGATAATGACGAAGAGGACCAGCAGAGCGATGTGAAGCAGGGGAACCATGGCTTTAATAATGGAGTTTAAAACCACCTGTAAACCTGCAAGCATACACAGAAGCCAAGGTCAGAGGGAACACACAGGCACACACAGATATACATGTAGCAAATTTGAGTTGCCACCCAGATGAGAAAAGAAGGAACAGATATTTGTGCCTTATCAGAATTAACAAAAATCTAACCTAAAATATGTCTTTATTTCTGCATCAAGTAACATTTATTTTTGAATAAAACTTAGTAGTCCCACTCAAAACATATGTTGTGTACAAACTAGAACAGAATGATTCACTCTAATTATCATTGAGTTCATTTTTGTTATTCAGTCAACAGCCATACAGAAGTTTCTTCCTTCTCACTCCAGGAATTTGGAGTCATTTGAAATATAAAAACCAGGGCTGCAACTAACATTTTTATAATTTATTATTATTCTATTACTGAGCAATCTATTTTGATTTGTGTCTAAATTCCTTATATTGTTTGACCAACAGTCCAAAACCTAAAGACATAATAAAAACAGCAAATGCTCACAATTGAGAAGCTGGAACTATGTACAATGTTTGGTATTTTTTGCTTGAAAAATGTATTACTGTTAGTCAGTTACCAAACAGTTGCCAGTTTCTTTTTTTCGATTGACTAATCAATTAATCAGCCAATTGTTTCAGCTCCAATAAAAGTAACAGGCCAGCAAGAGTTCAGTACATGGTTATTTAGCTGGCGGCTAGCACTTGGACTTGGGCAAACCTCTGTGTATCCTGCAGAGCACTTGACACACACACACACACACACACACACACACACACACACACACACACACACACACACACACACACACACACAATAAAGACGAACAGTATGCACAGAGAAGCAAACAGACTGATGCACACTCATAGAAACACATGCAATCAATCCAATTTATCAGTTGTCATAATGGCATTATCTATATCTCTCAAAGCCTCATGATAGCTCTAAATAGGCCTCTGTGGCATCAGCAAACAAGCTGAAATACCACAGCTTAATTAAACTGCATATACTAGCCAACAAAGACAAATGTTAAACTAGAATAGAACTGAAAATGTCGTTTCAGTTCAGTTCAACTCCATCATTCCCGGAGGTCCTTTCATCCCTGAGACCTGTGAATGATTACGTTGCTATGGCAACTCAAAGAATGCAGACGGTTAGGGCAACTTCATGTGAGGTTGAATGTGTGCAGACAACAGACACAGTGAAGGAAGAAGTATTTCCTGGGTGATAAAGAAACAGATGTGCAGATTGATATATTTGGAATTTTTATCATAGCTTCTTATTTCTATTTTGGTAAACTTATTTTATCATGGATGTTATAACAAAAGTTCAGTGCGAGATGTTTATTTAGAGGTAGAAGTCCTTCAATTACAATCACTATAGATTTTTCCAAACCAGACATTTATTATTTATTTGTGTCTTTGACAGGTATAAGCTTCATTCTGTTTCTGAGCAGGATAAACAGCCAGAGACAGCAGTAACGCTAACAATGCAGTTTCTTGTGTGGCGGGTTATGTTGAGCTGGCACTAACCCTTTGTTGCCACGTGTAACTGGCTAAAAGTTAGCTAGCACTAAATCTGTTTCCTCAGTATTTTTTAACTGAGCTAACACTCCAATTGTGTTGTTTATGCAGAGTATACATGTGTACAGTAGAGATACTGTAGCCTCAATACAGATGCAATATAGTCAGACATGTTTTGTGTCTGACTGTCCTGTGATCTGTGGAAAGGCCAAGACAAAAAAAGAACGATTCCTGCAGCATTGGAATCTAATAATCAAACCACAAGTTGCATTCAACATGGGAACAAACAGAGGAAATTGGTATATTCAGTGTTGTAGCACCCCTGCTTACACGTATTTCCCCACAAAATCACTGGGATGGGTTAAACAAGATAGCAACTCAAGACTATGTAAGTTGCACACAGTAAACAGTATCAAGCATTAGACTATGAAAAACTGCACCAATTTTCATTGCCTTCTTTGTCCAAATGAAATTCTAGTGTGGGTAATTTCACTTGTCTTCTTCAATGTCACCATTCAATGGATATACTGTACAATTACATTCCATCCTCTGGAGTAGCTACTATGATTACCATCTTATGTGTCTTGCTTTTTTCCTGCTACTTTCTGACCAGTAGGTGTTGGTCATTTGAGTTAATTACTGTATCTTCAAGTAATGTCTGTCTTGTGGATGTGCGCACACTTGGTCCCTATGATATTTCGCCTGTCTTGTCTTTTTGATATCTCTAGTATAAAGAATGACAGATTGGCCAATATGGTGATCATTATGTGCCAGATTACAGGTGTGGGATGTAAAATCACCTTCCATACAAATATAATCAAATTGTAAAAAAAAAAATTTAAAAAAAAATAAAAATAAATAAACATACACATACACATACACAAAAAAGAAACTGCTATGGCTGTCTGCCTCATAGGTTCTCTCCTGGGCCGCTGCACTGAATGCACTGCATGAAGGATAGGAGTGACACAACGTCACTTTCATTGATTGATAATGAAATGTAGGTCGAGCTAAAACGAGAGCATAATTCAAAACAACCGCAATGGTAATGATGGCAGAGAGCTTACAACCCAACTAGGCCGCAGAGAGAGTGATTTGCACTCAGATCTATCTAAAAACCCCTGTTTGGAAATAATCTGGATTTTGGTCATTAAACATTCCTTTACAAGTAGTTAGGTATCTCATTGTATTGGTTTGCCCTCTTATGGACGTTAGCAAAAAGAAATATTCGAGTGGTTCGAACCTGTGTGTTTTTTCAGAAGGAATATTTAAACATCATTTTTGGTTACTTTTGACAGTGCACTACACTACCGGTGTTTTCACTTATGTTGTCTGATTAGATCTTTCTCAAGACTGTGTGGGTGTGTACACACTGTGCTTCGATTGACAGCTATCTCACTCTTCTGTAACCTTTATTGCACCTTTATTTTACACCGTTATTGTGACTCGGTCCCATTTGCACTTGTCATTTAAAGTGTCTCATATGTGGATTATGTCACACAGTATGTGCATCTCAGGCAGTACTGTACAGGCTAAACAAGAGCAAGCTAAGCAGCCGGGACAAAGGTGCACGACTTCAGAAACAACATCAACATCTGGCTAAAATGCGTGTGTTTGAGGAATCAGATTTCAATCCTTCTCAAAAGCTTCTTTGAAATGATATAGCTATTCCATTCACCAAAGACTCGTGAAGTGACAAAGTGTAAATGGGGTATTCCCAGCATAGCTTCACCCAACGTCAGCTTATTAAAGGTCTAAATCAGTGGTTCTTAACCTGGGGTCCCAAGGGTTCCTTGAAGGGTTTCCAAGAGGAAAATGGGGAATATTTTTAAGAATGACTATTCTGTTAATAAGTTTCACACACTTCACTATTTATCTGCCCATATACAATACAGACATCCCTGAGACTACATCTATCAAATACGGGTCCACGACCTACACAAAAAGTTTGAGAAACCCCTGGTCTAAATAGCCAGAGTAATTGAAAACAATTGTGTGGGTGAGCAGAGCTTTTAACTAAAAAAAAAAAAGTTAGGACAAGTGACTTGACTTGAGAGCTCCGTGTTAACTCACTGGGAACTCCAGAGACAAGGCGAAGGGGTCGTAGCACGCGAAAGGCTCTGAGGGCCTTGACATCAAACCCCCCAGGTTTGCCTCCAGACTGGCCACCAGAGTCAGCGTCTTTGGTTATCATCTCCAGAACCACACTGAACAACCTGGAGAGGAGAGTGGGAGAGGAGAAGTAAAGGGAGAGGGAGGAAGAGGTTTGAGAAAGAGGGAAAAGAGAGCAGTGACAGAGATGTCATAAAAACAGAGCAAAAGAGATGAAAGCAAAAGAGACAGAAGGCAAAGAACAAAGCCATGTGTCTCTTTGTAGTTGTCTCTGTGTACATGCACCTGTGTGTGTGCAAGTGTGTGCTCATATACATGCTTTATGTGTGTGTCCTTTATGTCTGTACGTATTTACCTTCAGTTTTTCACACCTCATCACAGTTTACATTGAAGTCCTACTGGGGCCAGGTGGTCTACTGATAAACCGTCCCTCTCAACAAGGCCATGTGTGTACGTGTACGCATGTGTGTATGTGTATGCATTTGTGTGTATTTGTGTGTGCACTTCTGTCTCCGTGTGTGCGTGTGTCGAAACATGACCGTCATCTTGCCACTGGACATAATGAGTATGATAAGCTGGTGATCTATGGACAGCTAAATGCTTGTGCATCTATGTGTATGTGTGTGTGTGTGTGTGATATTGTGTGTCGCGACCGCCTATAATAATCAGGTTGGTGTTTCCGACCACTAGATGTTGCACAAGACCACCAGCATCTCAGACCAGACTCCGTTAACAAAACCAGTAATTTTACCGCAGATAATCGTAACACACTTCAAACTGAATGGAAACAAAAACCTTCTTTGTTACTTTCAAATGAAAAGGGTTTTAGCCTTTAGTATATACTGTTTTTGAGTTCTTGTCCCCTGCATTGAATGTCATTAAAGGGTAAACCAAACAGTTGTCTCTCATTCCGCGCGGTTTGCTACACAATATTTTATTTTTCTCTCCACAACCATTTGGTGTCCACTCGAAATTATCTCTTGACCCCCCCGATCCCCAGGTTGAGAACCACTGGCATAAGCGATTGTTCTAAGTTTGGATTGTTTAAGCTTGAGCTTATGTAAGAAATAATCTGTGTGTCTGTGTGTGTATGCCTTTGAATGTGTGTTTGCACATACATATTATGTACTACCTATAAACTCACCCCACAATGACGATGACAAAGTCCAGCATGTTCCAGCCGTTTCTGACGTAGGAATTTTGATGCATGACCAGGCCGTAGGCAATAATCTTCAGAAATGTCTCTATAGTGAAAATGATCAGGAAGGCATATTCTACTGTTTCCTGTATAGAGGGAAAAGAAGGAAGAATAGAAGGAAGGGGGAGAGGGAAAACATAAAGGAAAGAAAAAAATAAGTTATTAATGTTCAAGTTTAGCTAACCTTTACCAAAGAAGTTCACTGTGGGACAAACAATGTGTATGGGGGTTTGCCAAAATAAGAGGCAATGAGGCAAACAGGTATAAAGCACAACAACAAAGAAATCATTTCCCTGGTTACCACAATAGTTGGCATGGCAACTGGTTTCTTTTTTTGTCAAAGCAAGCAGAAAAGTATCATTGACTTTACTTTGATCAGATCCACAGCCTCATGACTTCTGCTGACTTTCAGTGAAATCAGGCCTCTAAATAAAGAATGCGTGTTATGTATAATGACACACTCACACTCTGCCACAACACACACAGTTTCTATGCTAATCCAGTCCTGTTGTAAAAACGTTCAGGACAGGTCCCCTGCAAGCTGATATTTGATTTGAACATCCCTTCACCTCGAGAGGATTTACTGACTGTAAGACCCTACACTTAATGTTAAATCTCATCAGCTAGTTGACAAATGAGAGCAAAATATTGATTTGTTTTGGTTACAAAAACAACAAATTTGGATGCATAAAGAATATGTTTTTAATTGATTGATTGATTGTCAGTTCAGTAACACTTTATATCATAATAGGGAATTATGGTGTAATATGCACTGCTACACACACACACACACACACACTGGCTGGTATATGAGGAGTTTATTTCTGGATGTTTGTGAGCCAATGCAGCCTGGTAAAATACATTTGTGTGTATCTGTTTGTATGCAAGTTATTACAGTCTTCATGTGTGTAATAAAGCTTTCTGACGTAGCAAGAAAAGCAGCAGCGGGGCTGAATTCATAAATCCAGTTTTAATAATGATATAGACATGAGAGGGAGCCAAAGGGAGGAGAGATAAATGATGAATTTATCCGATCTGAAATCTACATGCAAGGAACGAAGTGAATTTCATGAGTGGGTGGAGTAAATATAAATATATGTGTGTCATGTCCCATTTTCTGAGTAGGAGCTTTAATATCATATCGGCTTGTTCCAGGTTTCTGAGACTCAAGATTCAAATACAAGGCCATAATTTTTAGTCCTAAGGGTAAAGATATCCATATATTTGCAATTTAACATATTCTGTTATAAAATACATTGTCATTCTACTTTAAGATATATGTAGGCCTATCTTAAAGTCAGAGGGTATATTTTGTTCACTAGAAGGACACACAACATGTCTTTTTCACCTTTTTTCTTGATTTAAAAGTGGATATGGTTCTTGGTCATACTGTAGCATTCACAGAAAAAACCCATTCAAACCTCATACAAGAACTTCAAACAATCGTGTATTGTAATCATTTTATAAGCAAGGTTTTCCTCTAGCAGCATTGTGAAAAACTGTCATTTTATGGAGGGGTGTGGGTGGAGGAGACCTGTATGAAATTATAGCCCTTATGCCTTGGACTACATTATGATGCATTCAGGTGACCCTCACAAACACAGCGGAGAAAGTGATTTTTTTTTACAGAAGTAGTTTGGAATAAAAAGAAGAACTGTGTACAAAGAAACCCATCAGAACACAATTAAAGGTAAAGGATGTCACAGTATTACCAGCACTGTTTGATTGACTGATGATCTCTGGGAAATGCAGTGCAGAAACACTTAAGCACTGACGACTTAAGCAACTAAGATGTTGCCAAAAAATATATTTTATAGGGGCACAACAAAACCGTCATCTGAAAGATGAAACTCCTCAGTCATACTGTATGTCCCTGCTGCATCATCAGCATGTTTCCATGGTAACAATGTGTCTCGTAATGGAAACAGGTCCATGAATTTGGACATTTCCACACACATCTATTTATTGTGCTTACACATTATTTCACTTTCTCACCTCCACTTTCTTTCTCTCTCGCAGAAACACCTTTCACTCTCCTACGTATCTCACTTTTCTCTCCCTTTCTCTCTCTGTCTCTGTCTCTCCCACACAAAAAATCTCTCTTTCTCTCCGTGTGCGTCTCTCTGTCTGTCTCCCTCAATGCAAAAGGTTAGTGAGTTGGCAGGTTTTAAGGCCCATTAAGCTAAGCACTTCTCTTGTTGATTTAAAGGACCCAAAGTGCACATGGACAGCGTGCACAAAGACTCACACAGACACATCCATACGCACTGAAAGACGACAACAGTAACACACACACACAGACTTCACACCCACACACACAGGCAGAGAGACCTGCAGTAGTACACACACACTTCTGAAAGGCAGCAAGCCAACCAGACAGACAGTTTCACACAGGGATTATAAACGCTCCTGGCAATGGCGACTTAGACACAGCCGCAGTAAGGACGTCTACTTAAACAGCAGCCATTGTGAAAAAAAAAACACAGCTACCACCAGTTAGTTCTGTAAGTTTTACCTCCATGACTACATGACTGCTCATAATTGCACACAGTCTAATTGAATATCTTCTTCTTTTCAGGCAGCCGCTGGCTTTCATTTATTTCTGTTAAGTATAAAATTTCATTTGCAGTCTCTTTAAACTTGCTTGAGTTGTATAATCCATCACAATGAACATCAACTGTGCACATTCTTAACCATGCCATGGCTCTAGAGACGGCAATATAAGGCTACCCAACTTTGGTCCAGAATGAAATATCTCAACAATTATAAGATAGATAAAACATGATTCCTGAAGATGAACTAACTTTGGTAATCCACAGACTTTTTTATCTATGAGGTTGAAATTAGTTTTTTTTTGTGAAATATCAGAACAACTATTGAAATTTGGTACACACATTCATGTTCCCCTCAGGATGAATAGCTGATGATATGATATTGGTGATGCCTTTTCTACTGCCATCTTTAGATAAACATTTTAATTTGTCCAGTACTTTGGTGTATAAATAAAAAACTAATGACATTCCCATCAGCCTCAGATGTTAACATGCTAACACGTTAAACTAAGATGGTGAGCACATTATACCTACTAAACATCAGCATTCTTATAGTAAACATGTTAGCATGCTGACATTAACTTTTGTGCCTGAGCTACAGCCTCACAGAGCAACTAGCATGGCTGTAGAATCTTGTTGGTGTCGTTACGTTGTTGTTGTGCAGTAATGGAGTTGAAGTTCAGACTGATTTAGAAAGCACTGCACTGTGTTACTTGAAAGCAATTATAACTCACTGTGATGGATTACACAAGTCATGCAAGAGTCAGCCATTTGATCTTCCTGCTGTTCCTTCCTTTTCATTATGCTTTGCAGCAAATATTCAGCTGTAATGTACATTATTCCTGATTCTTAGTAAATGGGCCAAAACATGCTAAATCACTGCTATGGTCCTTTTATACTGAATAGCCCAAATGCTTCAGATGAGCAACTCTGCTGCCGTGTAAATATTGATTTTTCTGCAATGGCTGTGTCTTTGTCTGATTCCTAATTGTTAACTGGTGTACGCTGAGTAGTGTGTCATTACAGAAGCTGGGTGATGACCTGTTAAGGTCAACAAGTGCTATGACTCAGAGCTGTTTCACGCTGATAAGAGCCCACACGAAGCACACATGAACACACACCTGCCTCCGTCCAATTTAACATTCTTGCTCCATCCTCCTGTTGTTTACATAGGTCTGAAATATCCGCGCCTCTTCTTAGTCAACAGCTGACAAAGTGTGTGTGCATATGTGTGTGTGTGTGTGTGTATCTGTGCGAAGTTCAGTCAGCTGCATTTAGACTGTGACCTGGGAGTAAGGCTGGAGATGGAGATTACTGCAGGACAATGGAGACAACAAATAGCACTTGATCTTACATAGTGGATTAACACACACACAAATATGCACAGTAGATACAATGCACATGGAAGAGTAAGTAATTACATGAACACCTAACAAAACAGCGAGAAAAGAAAGTAAAAATTTGATAAATGTATTTATTCATTCAGCACCAACTTTACACATCAACACCATCACCTTAAGACAGCGTGTTGGCCTACATATGTCATTTACTACTATAATTTTGCAGCTGATTATTGAATAGTTTGATCAAGTGATGCCTATACTCCGTGTTTTAAGACATGCTTTGTGATGAAGGGCTATAAAAAAGTGTAAGTGCAGCAGCAGCTTTCAGAGGGCAGGTGCATGTGTGCAATGCTGTTAATTCAAACAAAACACTTCCTGCAGCTGCTTCAAATTAAAAGCTTTCCAGTGAAAGGACTGGATTATGGCTTTACTGTGAAACAGCTGCAGGGAGAGCTGTAATCACTGTGGGTTGCTCAGCCTGAGTTTATTTTAGTTCTAACTATGTAAATACACTATTTCAACTTCAAAGTATAAATACATAAAAATCCTTATCTTAGCAGATAAAATAAATAAGCTGTTCCCTCTACTGGTGTAGAGGGAACAGCTAAACTATTATAAACTATTTTTGAATGCATTTTCAAAAGTTTCAGTCAAACTAAATGTTTCAGAAACTCATTTTGCATTCAAGCCCATAGTTAATATAATAATATGAGGAGACAAGCTGTGCTCATGTAATTCCTCCTATCCTCCCCGCAGGGTACAGGAGTGGATTTAAGGCAGAAAAGTAGTAGCTGCCCTATGCCCTATCACATACCTTGTGATAGTTATAATACACAGACATGATATTATATAATAAATATTAAATCCCTTTCATTTTCACATCTGCAGGGGCTTCCTGGATAGTAATAGAGTGTTCGAGTAACATGTAGGCCTAAAGCTATTTCTGTGTGACAGAATTAGAGTGGGGTTGAGTGCTGACCAGGAGGTGGAGAGAGAGACGACAAGTGGCACCCGAACCCTGTCAACCCTCTGCTCGAGACAACCCTTTGTTCCGTTAGGACTGTGGAGGAGACTGGGAAATGTAATGCCCATACTGGTATACTGGAATAGCTAGAGAGCTGTTTGTGTTCGTTTTTTTTTTTTGTTGTTTTTATGTAAACTGCTTCCCTGAATGATAAATGAAACAGTTAA